AGAGGCGGCGCGCGGGCCTTACGGGCCTCTAGGGGCAGCGCGCAGGCAAGGCAAGGCAAGGCAAGGCATACAAGGCAAGGCAAGGCTACGTGGGGTAGCGCGGTAACCGCAGCGGTAGGTGGGCCCGAAAAAAAAACGGTCCTACGGACCTTAGTGCTCTGAAACCATGTTTAAATCTAGCAGCAGGAATGGATGAACTAACAGGATGCAGGAGTACAAGTAGTAAACCCTAACTAGGTTGTACCCCATATGGGCTACCCCACTACAGCCTAGACAATATGCAGCACATGTAGTTTGACAGGGAGACGTGGGGGTGGCGGGTGTGAACCTCCAGCAGGCTGTCCCTCCCTTCCCTCTTCCTCTCTCCCTGCAGCACTTGTTGCTGTAGGGGGGGGGGGGGGGAGGAGCGAGGTTAAGAGGGGGGAGAGAAGTGCAGAAGGGTGAGGGGGTGGCGGGAGAAGACAGGTGCGGAAGGTGTGAGGTTGACGGGGTTGAGTGACGAGGGGGGTGAGGACTAGGGGGTTCTTAACGGGGGGGGATCGCATTGAGCGTGCGCGCTCATGCCCGCCTAGCCCACCTCCTCTCCTCATCGGGACTTGGGGGTTCTTAACGGGGGGGGATCGCTATGAGCTTTCGCGCTCAAGCCCGCCTAGCCCACCTCCTCTCCCTTCCCTCTCTCACCTCCCCTTTGTAAAAGGAGGTTCGTAAGCGGGTCCGCCGGTCCTGGCCCCCCACCTCCTCTCCTCTCCTCTCCTCTCCTCTTCTCTCCTCTCCTCTCACCTTCCTCACTTCTCTGCCTTCTTCCACAGCGCTTGTTCAGGGGGTGCTGGCTGCACCAGTTTCTACCGCACGCAGGCTAAGGGGGTGTGTCAAACAATATGTTTAATATATACCCTGCGTGCTGTAGGTACTGTAGTTATTATTATTAAGAGTTGGTGGTGCACCTTCTTTGTTACTTTGCTATATGTACCTTGTGTGCTATAGTGAAACACCTCTTTCCTTGCCTAAACTCTCTCGTCACTTTCTCCTCTTCACCCTAGCATGGCTCCTCACCTCTAGCTACTATCTTGACAAGGACACACAACTGACTCGTTACAGAGCAGTTGCCCGAGTCGTACTGTATCGAACCGCAACAGCAACAGTAAAGTAGTTACAAACTGCATCCTTTCATATTCCCTGTATTACTATATAATCTTGTACTTCCTTGCTATAATTAATCTACTTTGCCCTCACATACCAGCGCAAGGTGGTTCATAATCTTTCATCAAAGCTTCCGCTGTTACAACACTATCCTACCCAGAGTTCTCCCTTGAAAGATCCTAAGGGGCTATCTCAGCCCAACACACCCACCCATGATAACCTAGAGGCTTCAGGCTAATACCACCCCACCTCACAATGAGCATTCAATCCAACCAGCTGTGCACTGTATCTCCATATTCATAAAATAATACCGTACGTACGTTAAGCACACACCTGCATTTATATGGGTACCGTACGTGCCCATCATAAATCATCTCCATGAAAATTGGGCCTGCGTTCACACAAGCAGAGTTCCTCACCAATCCGTACATTCCTTCTACCGTACCCATTCCACCTCAACTACCATACCAGTACCGGTATACTACTACATTTTCACCTTTAAATATGGTCCGCCTCCACTGTCCCTCGCCTCTCCCAGCCCTCGTCTCACTCTCTCCAACGCCATGCCTTTCAAGCACATCGGTCCACTTGTCTGCACCACACCAAACCCTCTCTAGTGCCCTCTTTTCTCTGCCTCCTCCAGTTGGCTGGAGCTCAGCTCTTCCCTTACACAGCTCTGCATAATCATCCCCTCCCCCCACCATGCTCCACGTCTCCACCTCCCTCTTCCCAACCTTGCTCCCCTCCCCCCCTACCCTCCTATGCACTCGCCAGCTGCACCTGCTTTAGCCCTGCTCCTTCATTCTTGCTCTTTGGTGATTTCTGCCCCCTCTGCCTCCTCTGTCCCCTCCCCCCCCTCAGCCCCCTTCTGCCCTCTCAGCCCCCTTCTGCCCTCTCAGCCCCCTTCTGCCCTCTCAGCCCCCTTCTGCCCTCTCAGCCCCCTTCTGCCCCCTTCTCCCCTTCTGTCCCCATTCTTTCACCCATTCACTGCTCGTCACTTATATCCTGTTCCGATCCTGACGGAGCCATCCCTTCCCCTCGCACCACCCCATTTTCATTCATCACCCCTGCTGAACCTCCTCCTCCCCCCGCACTGCCACTATTCCCCGTGCTCCTCCCCCCCCTGCTGATCGGTCTCGAGAGTGGTGCACTAGAAGGGCCGCATCCGAGTATAGCAGTTAAAGCCCACTGCTGCGAGGTCTTCCTATGCAGCTCGTGAATCACCGCGGCGCGGCCCTTGTTCACGTCCTGCTTGCCCTGCTTCCGCGACATGCGCACGTACACAAGCGCCGCGAGCGCCGCTGCTGTTAGGAGCGCCAGCAAGCCCGCCACCACCCCCACCGCGATCTTCCACGCGGGGACTGACGAGTCCGGGGGAGGCGACGGGGGCGGCGGGGGCGGGGACGGCGGAGGCGGAGGGACGAACGGCGGGGGGGGCGGGCTCGGGGGAGCGAGAACCGGGGGCGACGGGGCGGCGATATTCGTGCTGGTCCAGCAAAGCGCGAGGTAGTTATTCGTAACGACGCCCACCGCGCACGGCACGTATAGCGTCACGGGCTTGCTAGAGGCCGCGCCTACCATTTGCTCGTATTGCGTCACCTGACCGTTAGGCGTAATATTCGCGCACTGATAGTTTCCCCCCGTGGTCAAATCGTCAACCAAGGGCATAGAAAAATAAACCACGATAGGATTGTTCGCGGAAGTTGCGGCCAGCATCAGCGGCGGCTGCAAGACGGAAGGCAAGCCGCCCTGAGAGCCTCCGCCCGCGCCGCCGCCGGGTACGCCAGGACCTCCGGGGCCTACTTGAGCGGCGCTCGCTCCTGCGCCCTTGCCTCCGCTCCCGCTTGCGCTTCCGCTTCCGCCCTTGCTTCCGCTTCCGCTTGCCGCGGTGGTCGTGGTCGCGAGGACTGACGAGGAGTAAGTCAGCAGCGCCACTTGCGGCGACACGAAGCTCATCGGCTTGAGGTAAGCCGTCGCGGCGGCGGAAGACGACGGCGAGCCGGAAATTCCGGAGGAGCTTGAGGAGTTGCTGAACGGCCACGTGGACGAAGCTGGCGTGGGAATCGCCGCGTCTGGCGCGGATATCTTGATATACATCAGCACTACGGTGTCAATTCCGTCCGCGGGACCTCCGCTTCCTTTTCCGCTTGCTGCGGGAACCTGGCTAGTAACGGTCACGGCTTTCGGAAGGCTGAATTCGAACCACTCGAGCGACGCCAATTGCGCTACGGCGAGCGGCCATACCTCCACGTGGACTTCTACTCCTTCCGCGACCAGCCCGGTAACTGCGGCGCTAACATCGGCGGGATTCACGGAGCCGTTCTTGCCCTGCTGTGCCGGGTCGGCGAGGATGGTAGCGGCGGTTTTGAAGGCGAGCGGTTGCACGGCGCGCACGACCTGTTCGAACGGCGTGCGCGGGGGGGCGTGCGGCGGAAGCGGAACGTCGGCGCGCTGGAGGCTCCGGACGTGGATGGAGGAGTGCGGGTGAAGCGCGGAAGGCGGGAATGACGGGCGGAGGGAGCGGACGCGGAAGGAGTTTGCGGAGGCGGGAGCGGGGGGCGGAGGGGGAGCGGGGGCAGCGGCGTCAGCGGTGGTGATGAAAGGAACGGCGGTGAGGGCTGTTTGTCTATGGCACGTGTGGGTTGATTGGAAGGCGCAGAGAGCAAGGGCGGCGCAGACGATAAGATCGAGACGGTTGGTAGCGGAAAGCAAGGAACGTTTGCAAGGGAAACGGCGCATGCCGCCGTGGCCGCGTTGGCTCGGCCCTCGAAGCGCGCGCGCCATATGCGCGCTCACCAGCGAAGCACGGAAGCTAAGTACAGATCAATGCACTACAGCACAACCCTCCATAGTTCACCCAATTGAAGCAGCAGGCATTGCATTTCCCGCAGTGTAGTACAGATATTCTTGGGTTGCCACAGCACTGTAGGAGATTTGATGGAAGTGCTCTCCCCCAACCAAAGTTACAGCCCCAACCAACCACACACGCGCAACACCGCATCGCACCACACACAAGATGTACTGTACTGTACACGTAGACTGACTGAGGCTAGCCAGAAGACAGATGTGATTCTTTGGTGGGACTGTTCGGTCGTTGGGAACTCTTGTACATCACTGCTTGCTGCGGGCAAAAGTGCAAGTTTTCAGTCGGGCCGCCAACTGGTCTGTACCCGCGGACCGGCTAAACTGGACCAAGCTCCAAGGGGGACAACAAACATGACGAGAAAAAACGAGGTTCGGTGGGGTTGAGAGATTGGAGGAAAGCCTGCTGCATTCGGGGACTTTGTTAGGGCCGTGGCAACAGCTTAACAACTCGCCGAAAAAAATTGCTCAAGAACAAAAATTAGTTGGCTGTCGGTCAGTCAGGGCAAGGAAGGAAGGCATCGGTTCCCTTGCCGTGAACCGTCCTACAATTCGCACACCCGCGTGCACAGATGTGTCCAGCAGCTGACATGGTCGGTTTGTCTCTGGTTGTTGCCGAACGTGGGCTAGAAATTGGAGGAAAGTTAGTGTAGCAAGAAAAAGGAGGAAAGTTAGCAAGAAAGGTACGATATTGTGAGAAAAAGGTATTGTATGAACCAGGGAAGCACAAAATGAGGCTGACAAGCACACAACAGGTTGACAAGGTGTTAGCGACTTTCCCATAGCCCGGTCAATTTTCTTCTGGACGCTTATCTCATTTTCTGTTTTACAATTAATTGAAAAGACAAATCATAAGTTAGCTGCATTCTGCATTCTGTAAGAGAGACTCCACCCTCTATTTCACAACAGACCCAGTTCTATTATACAACAGAGAGCTGCGACATGCAAGAGCCCTGAACCCACTTTAAACTCTCACTCTTTCTTCAGGAAATCCTCCCCTATCTGCCTTCTCTGATATCACCCCCTACACCTTCACCCATGGAACTCTCCCCTGTGAAAACTTCACTCTCCGTGCCCCCCACATTTGCCAGGTCCTTGCTATCCTTCTCCGCGCCAGTATCCCCCTCACTCCGCTTGCTTGTCAGCTCCCCCTTGCTTCCTTTACTCCGCAAACTCTCCCCCACTCCACTCCCCTTTCCGCCAAACCACCAGCGATTCTTACCCGCAGAGTGCATTGCAGCAAACACAGCCGCGCGGCCCCTGTCCAAGTTCTTATCCCCCTGCTCCCTCTGCTTCCGCCGCACCAGCCAGACGTATAGCACGCCCGCAACAGCCGCCAACAGTAGCACCCCTAGCGCCACGCCCACGCCTATAAACACCCCAACATTGCTCCCCCCCGCGGGAGGCGGAGGAGGTGGGGCAATAGGCTCTGTGACTGGTGCTTGCGGGGGGGGAGGGGGAGAGGGGGGCGGGCTGGGGGGCGGAGGAGGTGGGGAAGGGGAGGGTGGCGGGGGAGGCATGGGCGGAACGGTGGAGGGGACAACGAGGTTGACGAATTGGTCCGTTAGCATGTCTTCCTCGCACATGCGATTCAGAATTTCAGCGCCGCCGTCACTGGGGAACTCGCGCTGGGTATCGGAGGGACCTACGTGGAACGCGCCGCTAAGTGCGGCCGAGAAGCACGAGTAAGGCTGCTGAAAGCTGGACACGGTGGTCAAGAACTTAAACTTCTCAGCATCTCCGTCGAAAGCGATAGGTGCAGGAAATGCTGCCTGCGGCGGCGGCAGCGGCTGCGGAGCGCGGCCCGTTCTAAACGGCTGCATTACAGCACCAGGGTAGCCCTGAAGGGAGATAACTGACGGGAAGAAGCTCGCCGTGAAGGAATGGACGGGCGGGTTCCGCGCAGCAAACGGCCAATTCGCAGACGGTGCGAGCGGCGTCGACGACGGGTTGGTGTCCTGCATCGTGATCTTGACGTACACAAAAACCAGCTCGGTTAGATCCGGTGAATAAGCTGGGTCAATGGGTGAAATGGAAACAGGCACGACAATATCATCGTCGTTGTAATAGAACATCAAGGAGAGGTTCGCTTTGTATAACGGCCACACGTCTAGCTGCAACTTGAAGCCCGGTACGAGCAGTTTGCTAAGCGCTGATCGCGCTGGTGGCGGGAAGGCGGGATAGGGTATGGTGACGGGCTGATTTTCGCCCATTTTCGTCGCTGCGGCTTTCGCGAACGCTATTGGCTGCAAGATTGCCATCAGCTGCGCGTACGCGGAGGCGGAAGAAGCGGGCGGAGCGGGGACGGTTGACGCGCGGGAGTATGCGCTGAGAGGCGGGGGCGGCGGAGGGGCACCGGCGAGGAAATGCGCGCGGGACGATTCGCGGAGGGGAAGCCGCAACTGGAGCGTGGAGCGGGAGAGGGTTGCGCGTGGCGGGAGATGCGCGGAACAAAGGGCGAGGAGGAAGAGGGTTGCGGAGAGTTGAATGCAGACGGCGGAAGAGAACGTGCGGCTCTTGGAAGGATGGCGACGACGATGGCGACGCGGAGGCGGTGGCGCGTGTCGCGTGTATGGATGCTGTGGTAGGAAATCCATGGCGGAATAGGGGACGAAAAAAAAATGAGAATGATGAGCGGAGAAGTGGTGCTACTGTAGATGTGTTCCACGGTTTTGTGGCTGATGATTGACGGGTGCGGTTCCCGTGGATGGGCCATGTGGGGGCGCAGTTCCCTCCCTTTCCATTTCCTGCCTTCGAAGCTTGGCCGACAAGACGAACTGTACACAAGGTTGGATCCGGACAGCACACCTGTGCAGGGTGGTTTGTCAGGCATACCTTGAATATATAGGCTTTGTGTATTCCTACTGTACGCGGACCAAAGAAAATAGGTTTGCACTGGTCGGTCCACGACGAAGTCTGCACTTTTCAAAAGGGGTTTTATAGTACACTTCAAGCTTTTGCAAAGATTAAGCACAGAACCTTCACAGTAGGTTGAATATCAGAAAGCAAACCTACAACTAAAGCTATATACAATGTCATGACAACTTGATTGAAGCTCAAGCCCCAATGGACGTAGCATTCGTCCTCTGCTCATCTGTTGTAGCAGATCCTCCCTCCACAGTAGTGTCTTCAGAGCTTGGGTTGTATGCCCTTCGCTTTGAGAGCCCAGAAACCACATCAGGTGCTGGCTTAGATCCAGTGCTCTTGTGCCCTTCCAAGGGCAAATCTGCCTTTTCACGCAGCCTTGTCTCAAGGTCATCGCCCAATGCAGGCGAGCGTCCCTTGCGTGCTTGCTTGTTCCCCTGCCATTAAAACGTTCATACAATACAAACAGCTGCCATTGAGCACCACCAAATAAAACAGTCTTGCTGAAAGTCTAGAGGCCTGGAACAACCCACCTCCACAAGCAGAGCAACAAAAGCAGGTAACCCATTATCGTTCACAAACTCAACCATCGCCTGGCGTGTAGGCGCATTCAAAGACTCAACCACCCGTTTCTCCTCCGGAGCCCACTCCCCCATCCCCCCTCCGACTCCAGTCCCTTCCGCTGAAACCCCCTCAGAAGCCCCCGCAGCCGTCCTCCCCTCCAGAGGACCTTCCCCCTCCCGCTCGCGCTTCCCCTTGAGCCTGCGCACGCGTGCGCGACCAAGAGCCTTGACGTGGAATGGATGAACGAACGTATCATAGATGAGGGCCGCGCCATGGTATTTGGGTAACACCAGCCATGCGAAACCAGCCAGCTTCGCTAGCGAATAGAGAGGTATCCTGCCCACAGCGAATGCAAGGAGAAAATGTTAAATCACAGAAACAGCTTGGATATAAAACGAGGGGGCTTCAAAATCTACATATTACAAAATCCGCCTACCAGGACAAAATGGGCGCGAGGAAATGCTCTATGGTGGAGACGATGGAGAAGAGGACCCAGTAGGAGAGCCACTGGCGCACTGCGGATGGCTCGGCGTACTCGATGGTTCGAACAAACTCCAGGCTGCGTGCAGAGAACAATTACAAGTAGTAATTCCATCCGTTTGACAAACTAAACATACAATGGCCACTACGACAGTCAGTGGGCTACTCACAGAGGGTAACCGAGCATAAGGATGGGTCTGCAATAGGGGGTTGCAAAAAACACGTTAGTAAGTAGTATAGCCGTGTGCTGATGCATGAGTCAAAATTTGCAACGATTTGTTGGCATACTCACCCAGCCAGCCTCAGCGCGGACGAGAGCAGGAAGAAAGGGTTGGAGAAGGAATAACTACTCCTAGTGGTAGCTCCAAATATCCCACCAATTCTTGAACCGAACCTCAAGCCGCTGGTAATATTACTGCCTATCGCCATAGCGAGAACAATGCAGAATGCAAATTACAAACACGCTCAACACTTTCAGCCTGAACGGTCGGATTTAGCAGAAGAGCTAGGCTGAATCTTCCAGCAAGGACGGGGTGAAAGAGCGGCCTATTCCACTCATGTACTGCGAGCGATTGGGCCTGCTTCGCCGTGGGAAGCGATCGATAGAGGGATCGCGACATCTTCCAGCGGAAGGAAGAGAGCTAAGGGAGAGGGGGGAGGAAGCCAGTAGTGGGGCTATGCGGACGGTGGGGAGAGCCAATTCTGAAATTGGTGGGCATTGGACAAGCCGATATGAAATTCCGTTCACCGAGTCGCCTGGCGAACATGCACATCCAATGCGGGAATTCAACAGGTGCCACGTGGAAGAAGTCGGAGCCAACCTGTCGTGGCAAGTATAGCTTCTGGACGGATCGTTTAGAAGCCTCTTCTGAACAATCCTCACACAACACGGCATTTCTCATGTTATACAAACAGATGCTTTTCATGTACTTTTTGACACCTGCAACGAACATGACTTTCGAACTTTATACCTTTTAAGTGGTGCACATCCATGGACCTCACAGTAGAAACAGCGTACCACTCATCATAGCATAGCACACCATCCATGAAGCATATCAACCCTACAGACGTGCAGCCTGGCGTGTGATAAACGGGCGAAGGAACTCTTCGTAACCATCGATGACATCTGGGGTGTTCATAGGATCCGCAGTGGCCCGGCTGACAAGGTCAGTGTAGACATCGCCATTGAATCGGCCGAGGGAGGAGTTGAGGAAATGATCCGAAAACTGAAACGCGTCCACCAATGGCACTGCGATGCGCCGCACCTGGAAAACAATCAGAACAGACAATGCCAAATTTCGCATCGATCAAACCACAATTCAACACACACACACCACCAGCCCCCACCTTTCTGTGAGTAAAATAACTCTCCTTCCTCTCCTCTCTAACCACAGAGCCCGGACTCTCCCCCCACGGGCCAGCAGATAGGTGCAGTGCGGTGCTGATGGGTGGCAAGAGCTCACCTGGGGCAGCAGGGCGAGCAGCTGCTGGCGCACGAGGGCAGGGTGGTCCGGGCTGAAGTACTCCCCAGCCACGAGGTCACCAGCAGAGGCGTCTACGAGGTGCAGGCAGTACAGGTCGCACAGCAGCTGCAACGCATCCAGCACTCCTTGGCTGGTCAGCCCTGCGTCCCTCAGCTCCTGCACTCGCTCCACAAACCTGGTGCCATGGGCAGTGGGGTGGGGAAGAGGGGAGAGGATAGGAGGATAGGAGAGGTGGTTGGAGACAGGCGCAAAATAAGAGTAATGCACATCCATCTTCCCTTGGCTCCTGCACTCGCTCCTCAAACCTGGTGCGGAGGGGTGTGGCATAGGGAGGGAGGGGTGGAGACATGAGGTCACCAGCAGAGGCGTCTACGAGGTGCAGGCAGTACAGATCGCACAACAGCTGCAGTGCGTCCAGCACCCCCTGGCTCATCCTGCCATTGTTCCTCAGCTCCTGCACTCGCTCCACAAACCTGAGGTGGGGTGAGGTGGGGTGGGGTGGGGTGGGGTGGGGTGAGGCATGAGGTCAGCAGCAGAGGCGTCTACGAGACGCAGGGAGTACAGCACAGCAGCAGCAATGCGCCCAGTACCTCTAAACCCTAAACACTGGAACGTTTTTTAAAAACAGCGGTCAGTAGCAGAGGCGTCTACGAGGCACAGGGAGTACAGCAGCAGCAATGTGCCCAGTACCGCTAAACCCTAAACACTGGAATTATGGCAGTGCAACAGGCAGCATACTTGGCAGCAGATATGAGACGGCAGTGGGCGGCGGAGGCCGATGTGAGCGCCACACTGTTGTCGAGGAAGCCTGAAACGCGTACAGAGGTATGGGCGTGAACAGAAACACAGAACATCTTGGTCAAGTCGAAGCAGGAAGCAGGAAGCAGGGAGCAGGGAGCAGGGAGCAGGGAGCAGGGAACCGGAGCAGGGAGCAGGGAGCAGGGAAGCGGAGCAAGGGATGTTAATGCAACAACCACATGATGCCACAGCCGCCCATGGGCATCAATGATCATTCCCCCAGGGCATCACTGTTCTGGCCTGATGGGTCTCTACCTTTTTCAAGAGAAGGAGCGGCAGCAACGGCGGTGGCAGCAGCAACAGCCTTTTGGAATGCACACGCCTGCAGCGCTGCAAGCTGTGTGGATGTCTGGAGGAAGTCAGAGGCTGAGACAGAGGGAAGGGGGACGGAGGAGAGGTAGGACGTTTGGCAGTTGAAATAATGGGCCTGAATGGGGAGGAATGTGCATGACAGAACATGTATGGGCGTGAATGGCCTCCTAGAGATACGCAGTGCAGAGTAATAAGAATCCTCAAACTACATATCCACTCGCTCACCCCCTTCCCCCCCTTGCGTGCACAGCAGCGCACCCACCAGAGCCAGCAGCGCACCCACCAGAGCCAGCAGCGCACCCACCAGAGCCAGCAGCGCACCCACCAGAGCCAGCGTTGCACTTGGCGGTGAGGTTGTTGGCATCACCCAGGTATGCTGCCGTGCCCCCCGGCCTCTTGCCCTCTGACGCCTGGCTCACTGCCTTGAGCAGGTACCGCGCTACCTGCAACAACGTTACGCATGTGAAGACAGGTGGGGGGGAATGTGGGATACATGGTGAATGCGTGAGAGTGTGGCTGAAAAGAAAAATGGTACTGTGACAGAGTGATCAACCAAACTCAACCCAGGTCAACCCAGCTCAACCCAGTAGCACAGTGCTGGCTGTGAACAAAACCCACACTTCCCCCCCATCCCCAACCTCACCTGCAGCAGCAGCACGGTATTGTCCCCCTCGTACGTGCACGTGGGCACAAAGGCAGGAAGTTACAACGCTACTCAATCCAGCCCAACCAGCAGCACAGAGCCAACAGGACAGAAGTTACTCTCCGTTCTAGCTCACCTGCAGCAGCAGCACGGTGTTGTCCCCCTCGTACGTGCAGGTGGGCACAAAGGCAGCATAGAGCTGAGGCAGGGCGGAGAAGAGCGAGTACCCGTGCCCTCCACACAGCTTGCGACACTCCTCTATGCCCTCCTGCATGGGCAAACACGGGGGATGTGGGGTGGTGAACGGGGGAAAAGGTGGGAGGAAAGAAAAGAAGGCAGTTGGTGCTAATTGCGCTGGTTTCAAGGCAAATCCCTAGTACAACACCAACATCGACACCTCATACCCTTCTCAACACTTGCCTACATTCACCATGCTTCCCCATGCATCCTCTGCACTGTACTTCCCTCCCTCACCGTCACACCAAACACCAAAAACATCCCCCTCCTATCCACTCCCGCTCCCTTCCTTCTCCTTTTTCTCCCAGCACCATTCCTCTGCATTTCCCCTTTCCCGCTCTCCCCATTCCATTTCCCCCCTTTTTCTCACCGCAGTAGCAGCAGTGGTGAGCGCCTTGAGTCCAGCCGTAGCAGCATGCACCTCCGGCAGAGTAGAGTAATCCCCCCTCTTGAAGCGCGCCACCACGTCGCTGTACAGCTCCGCCATCCACTTGCATCCCTTTCATCCCCCTCCACTTGGTCACCCACATCCATCACCCATCCCCATACCTACCTTCTCCTTCAGCCCTACACAACCCCCCCCCTGCGTTTTCCCTTTTCCTCCTCCCCCCCCCCCCCGCCCCCCCCCTCCTCCTCCCCATCCTCCCCCATTCTCTCTCACCGCAGTGGCAGCAGTGGTGAGCGCCTTGAGTCCAGCCGTAGCAGCATGCACTTCAGGCAGGGTGGAGTAATCCCCCCTCTTGATGCGCGCCACCACGTCGCTGTACAGCTCCGCCATCCACTTGCCCGCGAACAGGAACGCGTACGCGGACGCGATCAAAGGGAGAAGACGCATCTGCTGCGTCTGATAGTCCATCACCTGGAGGGGTTGGGTGTGGGGAGAGTGGACGGTAGCTGTGGTGAGGCGGACGGAGGAGCGGGAGAGTACAGGGGCAGCAGCCGCATCTGCTGCGTGTGGTAGTCCATCACCTGGCGGTTGCGCGGACAGGGAGTGCGGGGAGTGAGGGGTGCGAAGGGAGTGAACATTTTTGGGATGGAAAGCGTTTTTGGGGTGGCAGGTGTGTGAGCAGCCGCATCTGCTGCGTCTGGTAGTCCATCACCTGATGGGGGCACTGCAGGGGAGGGGAGATTGGGGTAGTTGCTGAGAGGAGGGGGGAGGAGTGGAAAAGTTTACCCCTAGAAGTTGGCTGAGAGTGGCTTGACCCAGTCCCCTTCCCCCAGTCCCTCCAACCCCCTCCCCTCCCTCCCCTCTTCCTCTCCTCCGCACTCACCTTGCTCTCCGCGTCCCCTTCGCTGGTGCCGAACTGCCTCCGCACGCACGAGTAGCGCGCGGCGATGGTGACGGCGCGGCCGAGAGCGACCCCCGACTCCATCACGATGGAGCGCCGCACAAACACCATCGCGCCGTACGCCAGCTGCCGCGATGCTGCGCTGCCGCGGTGGTAGTCTCCCGAACGGTCAACGCTGGCATAGCTGGAGGAGGCGAGGGATAATGGGGCAACGGGGCAACGGGGCAACGGGGCAACGGGGCAACAGGGCAACGGGGCAACGGGGCAACGGGGCAACGGGGCAACGGGGCAACGGGGCAACGGGGCAACGGGGCAACGGGGCAACGGGGCAACGGGGCAACGGGGCAACGGGGCAATGCAGCAATAGAGTTTGAGGCGCCACAAACACCATGGCACTGTACGCCAGCTGCCGTGCTGCTGCGCTGCCGCGGTGGTACTCGCCCAACCGGTCAACGCTGGCATAACTGGTGGTGGTGAAGTGAGGAAATGGGGCAACGGGAAATGGGGCAATGCAGCTAGGACTTTTGAGGCGCCATAAACACCATCGCGCCGTACGCCAGCTGCCGAGCTGCTGTACTGCCGCGGTGGTACTCGCCTGATCGGTCCACACTGGCGTACCTGGTGATGCAGGGAGGGGGAACGAGGCAACGGGGCAACGGGGCAATGCATAAAAGACTGTTAGCTGCCTCGTTGCTGCACTGCCGCGGCGGTAGTCACCTGACCGAGTGACACTGGTGATGCGGTGAAATGTGGGAGTCACTTTTGGGAACTCTCGAGACGGGGCAATGTGGGTGACACAGCATATGTGTGGTGGTGGGTGCGTGGACACAAATTGGAAAGAGAGGGCACTTTTTAGGAATAAGTATGAGAGTGAGAGAGAACGCAAGGGTACGGAGCATGACAGAGAGGAATAGAGGGGGGAAGGAACACGATGGCGGGTTAGGAAAAAGAGCACACATGGACGAGCAGAAGCAACATCTACTGCACGCACGAATGGAGAAGTGGATGAGAACACACGGATCAAGACCGAGTGGATAAGCCCAGTGACTGCATAGGCATACTGGTTCGCGGCTTTGGGGACATCACATAGCAAGCTTGGAGTGAGTGAGCGAGCAAACTAGTGAGTGAGCGAGCAAACGAGTGAGTGAGTGAGTGAGTGAGTGAGCGAGAGAGTGGGTGCAGGGCACGGACCGCATGAGCATGTTGGTGCGCGGGATGCGCACGTGGGAGAAGGCGAGGAAGCCGTTGTCCATGGTGTTGTACCCCATGTTGCCGAACTTGGGCCCTATGTCGCCCACCGTCACTCCCGGCAGCGGCTTGTGGTCGCTCAGACTGCGAATGGGCACCAGGAAGGCTGTGGGCGAGGGGACGTGGGGACGGGTGGGAGGTGGGAGGGGGCACGGGAGGGATGAAGGGGAGGAAAGAGGGGAGGTAGGGCGGGGAGACAAGAGGCGAGTCATAGTGGGGAAGGGAGGAACGGAGGGGGAGGCAAAGGGGGGAGGCAAAGAGGGGAGGCAGGGATGGGGGGCGAGGAAGCCGTTGTCCATGGTGTTGTACCCCATGTTGCCGAACTTGGGCCCTATGTCGCCCACCGTCACTCCCGGCAGCGGCTTGTGGTCGCTCAGACTGCGAATGGGCACCAGGAAGGCTGTGGGCGAGGGGAGACGGGGGGGGGAAGCAGGAAGGGAGGGGCGGAGGGGAGGGAGGGAGCGGAGGGAAGGGGAGGAACAGGGGGATGGAACAGAGGAGAGGTAAGGAAGGGAGGCAGGAGAAGTGAAGGAAGGGATGGAGGAGGTAAGGAGGGGAGGCAGGGATGGGATGGGAGGCGAGGAAGCCGTTGTCACTTTCATCTTTGTCTCCATCCCGCCCACCACACACGGCACCCGCTGGTCACCCAAGCTCCCATCTCACAACACACGTCCCCCTCTCGTGACACACGCCCTTCACTTCAACCCCCCTTTTTTCCTCGCACCGTGCACGCCGTGGTCCTTGCCCTTGCTGATGAGCCTCGCATACACCACCGCGTGGTTGGACGCCTTTCAGGTGGTTTTACAGACCAGTCACAAAACCCACACGCTCAACCCTCTCACACACAACACGCGCCCTTCACGTCCCCCCTCGCACCATGCACGCCGTGGTCCTTGCCCTTGCTGATGAGCCTCGCATACACCACCGCGTGGTTAGACGCCTTGCCCAGCCCGCCCGGCCACCACTGCAGCACACACGCAAGAGGAGGAGGACGGCAAGGGGAGAAGGGAGAGAGTGGGAAAGAGAGAGAGGGAAAGCGGAAAAAGGGAGTGCTGTGAGAAAAGAGCGGCAACCACGGGAACAGGAGTGGCTGAGCAAACGTGCACTGACGCAAGGACGAACGGCTGGGCACGGCACTACACAGCACCTTACCACACAGCACAGCACAGCACAGCACAGCACCGCACCGCACTGCACCGCAGCTCACCTTGGTGGCGGTGATGGTGGGCGTGTGCACGTCCCACTCATCAGTCTCAGGCACATAAGTGGCCGTGGTCTCGAGTCCCTGCACGTTGCTCCCGTGCCCCAGCTCCGTCTGTGCATAGCACCCGATCCACTCAAACGCCCGCGCCTTGGGCAGCCACTCGCGCCCCTGCTCCTCCGTGCCCTGCCCCTCTATAGCGGGGATGAACATGTACTGGCAGGGACGGCGCGGGTGGGAGGACAGACGTGCGCGGGAGAGGGGAGGTGGATCGATGGGTTGATTTGAATGGGTTCGTTGGGTCTGGAGCATGTTGGAACGAGGGCGAGAGGAGCATGGGTCGGTTGTTGGGGAGAATCCGGAGGAGGGAGAAGCGAGATGGAGAAGAGCGAGGGAAGGGGGAAAAGCAGTTGGGTTTTGAAGCGGAACGAGGGACGTAGCGAACGGGAGAGCGGGGAGTGGATTGCCAAGGGAGGGTTACCGACCGAGTGCAGGTCAGACAAGTAGATTGAGATACCAACTTTCGACCATAAGCTCACAGAAGGGTCTGCGCTTTCGAGGAGCTTTCGAGGCACGTCAGAAGAGAGGAGGAGGAAGAAGGACGCCGTCACGCTGCCTTACCGAGTGCAGGTCAGAGAAGTTGATATCGTCGACCATAAGCTTGAATAGGTAGCGCTCCTCCTCTGCACCCACACACCGCAGTCACGAACCAAGTCAGGCACAAACACGGCAACGTATCGAACATGCACCCTTCAAACATGGGCAACAGAATATCCGTGCCTACGCAGAATTGGTTCAGTGAAAAGCAGAGAGTCCTCAGAGATGTGGCCAAGAGGCGAAGCAGGCAGGCAGGCAGGCAGGCAGGCAGGCGCGCACCGTTGAGCTGCAGCTCCTTGACTCGCGTGATCATGTGCGCCGCCTCCTGCAGAGCGTTTCTGGGAAAACTCAGAACCGATCTACAGGCGAACGAAGCACGCACCGTTGAGCTCGAGCTCCTTGACGCGCTTGATCATGTGCGCTGCCTTCTGCAGCGCACTTTTGAGGATACTCATTTAAAAACGGATTTACAGGCAACTGAAGCACGCACCGTTGAGCTCGAGCTCCTCGACGCGCTTGATCATGTGCGCCGCCTTCTGCAGCGACCGCTTCATCGCCTGCGGCCGCGTCAGGTGCGAGCCGTCCGTGCGAGAAAACACCTGCGCGCCGAGCCCCGCGCCCCGCGCACGCACGCCCGAGCAACGAGGAGAGGGGGGTGGGTGGGAGAGGGGGATGTGGGGGAAGGGGTGGGGTGGGGTGGAGGGGGGAAGGTGTTAGGGACAGGCAGGAGAAGCATGGTGGAGCAGCGATGAGGGGAACGCCGAGCGCGAGCCGGGAGAGCTGGGGAGGAAAGCAGTAGGCAACCATGGCACTTATGGAATAAAACCGTGCGAGGAAACTACCCGCATGCGCTGCTCTGCTCTGATCTACCTCGTGATCAAGTTATTGCCACGATCAGCCTTCCCAATCAGTACCCCACCCTAAATCTTCCGCCTTCCCCTCCCCCCAAACGCCCAACTGACCGGGTCCTGCGCGACGAGCTGCGCCATGCGCTTCAGGCGATCCACGCGATCCTGACCGTTCCACACCACGGCGCTCATCTCGCTCACGTCGAACGCTGCTCGAATCGCCAGTGTAAACGGCGGGAGGGAGAGGAGCGTGGGGTGAGCATAAAGGGGAGAGGGGGTTTGTCAAGAGGGGTGACAGAGTAGATGCGGGGGAACGACGCGGAAACGAGGCGCGGGGATTGGGTGCAGGAATCATATCCGGGATCGCGTAAACTGGATATGGTCTATGAAAAGAGAGGCAGAAATGTAGGCAGGAGATGCTCCGTGAGTGCCGGAGTGCATTCCCGATCACGGCCATGCGAATGTGTAGCAGAACGCGTGTCGGTGCTGTTTCCAGGCTAAGCGGCGGACCGCATGGAGATCAACATGTTTCGCGGACCGAGAAGAACTTTCACGCATAACATGCCACCGATGCATTACGGAGCGATGGAGAGAGTCACACTCAAGTCTTTCGATCTGATCAGGGGTAAGGACGGAAGTTGTGACAGGCGCTTGGTTCTTACTTGCATTCGCGCGCTCATCAGCCAGGTGATCCATGATGCTCGGAAAAGGCTGTGAAACAGACTCCCAACTAGCGGTTGAAATAACCAGTCCAACGGCGATCGTTCTGGATAACGAATGCTAAGAACGCAAACGGCTCCCAACTTCACGACGAGCCGAAGGGAAAGCCCTGCCAGAGAAGCTTGTGGCTGCTTCTGTTTTGGCCTCCGGAATCCAGATTCAGCAGGAGAGCAAGGGGAATCCCATTCCCGAAGTTTTGCTTTGCACTACACAGTGGCACTGGGGGGTGGATCTGGATTGCCGGGTTCGTTTGGATAACGGGGAAACAAAGGCACTTCACCTCGAGAACGATGCCCCCGCGACCATTCAACAATGTACTGTACGGTTGGGTGGTTTGCCGTGCCGGGTCCAGATTCCAGACAAACAAGAGCAAAACACCCCGAGAATGATGGCCCGGCAACCATACAACAATGGACGGTTGGATGGTGACGATCTGAGACGCCAACATATGGGAACATGCAATGCTGGAACGTGTGTTGCACTGGATGGACATTCCTAGCCAATCCTATTTGTTGCCTCCAAGCTTGTTGCATTTGTGATTGGTTAACGGATCCCACCGTGGAGTCGCGTAAGAACTTGTGGTCTGGCGGTCCAGTTGTGGTGACGTGACGAGTGCCGTGGCGACCAGCACAGCAGCGCAAAAGGGGAGACTTGCGGCGAAGTTCTTGTCGAAAAATGTCAGTGCGCCAGCGAAAGGGGATGGAAATGGCGAAAAGCCAATACACTTGGCTGAAAGTGGAAAGCCAATAATAAAACACCCATATGCTGCATACATACTACAGCATATGATATTCCACTATGCTATGATTTCAAACAATCGACTCCCAAATCACTTCAAGAGCTACTAAAAAGATTGAATACGTTAACTCGAATAAAATCAGTTTGTTTATATGATACTTTATTACTTTAGGATAAACCATCTCTGGTTTATAGAACAAAAAATGGTTCTGTGACAATAAAACTGATCAATTTTTTTTAGTTCGATCCGACATATGTCAAATCAATAATACATTCTGAGTATTATATAAAAAAAGATATGTTTTAAGGATTCATACTGCAGCAAGCAGCAGGCTGGTCATATGGAAAAGGGGTATGGTAACAATTTGGTTATGAGGCTCAGGGTCGAAAGCTAATCCCACAAAAACACACGACGTCCCGCGACACTGGGACGGCAACCGCTCATCCAGTCCACGTCATGCCCAACGTTTGCATTCTCCCCGCACCCCGCTGATCGTTCTCCCCTTTTCCCCTTTCGCTTTTGCGCCTCTGCGTTCCCCCTTCCGCCAAGAGTCCCCCGCCCTATTCTTCGTTGCGACGGCTCCCCTCCCCATCACGCATCCCTCCCACCTATGTGCTAGCTTTCCTCAAGCTAGGTTTTCTTCCCACCTCAAGCTAGCTTTCCCCTCGTTTTACGCGCTCTTTTTCGCGACTTTTACGCGCCCTTTTGCCATCATGACGGCCCAGGAAGTAGAAGGTAAATTACGTGAATTCTGGTAGATTACATGTCTAGGTTGAAAGCTGGGGATCTGATGGCTTAGGTCGGGTGAGGTGGCCACGGGCGTCGCATTTCCCGTAGGTTTTCGTTGGGTGCTTACAAGAGCGCATCCCTGTCTCCCCTGGAGTCCATCATCCTCAGCAGCTACTAATTCTTCCGTTATCTGCAAACCCGCACAAGGATCCATTTGCCCGAGCAAATTCCTGTGCCTGACATAAAATCTCGCTGCCCCTGACTGTCCGACCATCCCGCCGCCACAGGAGGTGTTGCGGAGCTGAAGCTCAAGGAGGAGGAGGCTGCGGCGGCGGCGGCCAAGGAGGAGATGACGGTGGAGGATAAGGAGGAGGACGAGGAGGAAGACGACGAGGACGATGATGAGGAGGATGACGAGCATGGCGAGGGGGAGGGCGATGCTGCTGGCAGCAACAGGAAGGGCAAGCAGGTTCGTACCGGGAACCGGTATGGGACACAGCCGTATGCTACGTTGATGTTTCTCCCTGCCACAGTTTTCGTTCCATCGGATATCTCGTTCACTTCCTCTACATCCCCCATCTTTCTTCCGTCCCCCATCCTCCTCCCCCTTCCCCCTTCCCCTCCTCCTCACCCCATTTCTCCCCCCTTTCCCCCCCCCCCCCCCCCCCCCCCCCCTTCCCTTCCTCCCCCCCCCCTTCCCTTCCTCCACCTCCGCCCCACCCGCCAACCCCCCCTCCCCCCTCCTTTAGCACCCCCTCATCCCTCCCTTTCATATCACTTTCCTCCCCCCCCTTTCCCCTCGGCACACCACCACGACCACCCTCGACGCCTTGCTTGTTTCCCCATATCTGTCCTTGTCAAATTCATCCTCATTCACGGGATGACCGTTTGATCCACTCATCTTGCTCCTGTATCTTTTTCGCAGAGCCGCAGCGAGAAGAAGGCGCGCAAGGCGATGCAGAAGCTGGGGCTGAAGCAGCTCACGGGCGTGTCGCGCGTGACCATTAAGCAGAGCAAGAGCACCCTGTTCGCGATCTCGCGCCCCGACGTGTTTAAGAGCCCTGCGTCCGACACGTACATCATCTTCGGCGAGATCGAGGACCTTAGCGCGCACGTGCAGTCGCAGGCAGCGGAGCAGGTAAGGCGGATGCGGAGGGTGTGTGTAAGTGGGATCGTGTAGTTTGTTGGAAATTCGATTTTTGTGATTTGGCGTTGTTATTGTGGATTTGTGGTCGGCTGTCTAGGATTGCGCAAATGATGTCGCTTCCTTTGTCCGGTTTCTGTCCTGATCCCACCTGTTGCTCCCGCCCGCCACTCACCCCTCTCCGTCCGTCCCTACCCGCATCTGTGCCTTCCTCAGTTCAAGGTTCCAGACTTCGCAGTTCCCACAAAGGTTGCTGAGGGCGAGGCGGCAGTGGAGACGGAGGAGGAAGATGTGGATGCCACTGGTGTGGAGGAGAAGGATATTGAACTCGTCATGACGCAGGCTGGCGTTTCCCGTGGGAAGGCGATTTCTGCTCTGAAATCCACTGATGGAGACATAGTGGATGCAATTATGCGGCTGACAACGTGAGATGTAGTGTAGAGGAGATGGTTACAACAGCCGTGTTGGTCGCATCAGTCTAGATGATAGTTCCATTCCATGTACTGTCCTTCATTGAGTGTGGTTTGTGAATCGATGTGCCATGATGCTCATCACCCTAGTGGTTCCCATCCCATCCCATTCCCATTCAGTTACGGAAATGTGTGAAATTGGTTTCTTAGGGCGTGTAATTTTTTTTTTTTTCAGAACCATGCGGTTTGGAGTGCACATGAATAGGGTATCTTGCTCACGGGCTGGACCTAACAAGATCGTTTTGGAATCGGAATAAAAGTCGCACGCCCTTATACCTACCACTACTAGCTGCAAGAGTTTGTAGATGTACTGTGGATGGAAAGTTATGAGTCAGAGGGAGTTCAATTCATGTGCATTTCAGGTAGAGTACTTGTTGTACCCACAATATTGTTTTATACAAGCCTAGCAAGCTGATGCTTTATTACCTCAATTCCAATGTTTGTACAACTGTAACAAAACAATATCTCTATTCAGGTGGCTGGATTCGGATTGCGGTGCCATTTGTCTCCATATAAGGCAATCGCATCAAATGCAGCATGGGTGCAACTATCTTCGTTCCGAATCTTTTCTCATTTTCGCGATTTGTGGAAGCCTGCAGCAAGGAATCCAGGATTTGCACTTAAATCACTATTAGGATTCGATTACACGACTGAGCGCACGACTTGCAGACCACCTGTATAGCAGGGAGGAAGTGGAAAGAGCAAAAACAGTAGTACACATGACAAAACTGGATCGTCCAGAAACTGCCCTTATTTTAAACATGACAGACAGTGAATGTTGTCTACAAATATATATATATTTTTCGTGACAGGAAGTAAGAACGCGTAGCCTTTTGTTGGTGACGAGCCAATAAGAAACACAGATTGGGAGTGCTGAACCCCAGTCGACACAACACTTAAGGGTAACGTAAGGGTACTGACGTCTTGCTGCGGGGTTCTCATAACCCTTGGACCAACCTTAATCCATAACCACTCCACAAATATAATGAGTGATACTTATTGGATCCCATGCGCTGGCATGGTTTAATCATTACAAACATGTCAAGGGGAAATGGTTGTGGTGCTCAAGTCACGGGACAGTCTCTGTAGAGTGAGTCAATAGGAGAGCTCTCCTTTCTCCCTGGCCCACTTTCATCCATGATGTTGGATATCTTGTGCGTACTCGGGGGTGTAATTGCAATCATAGCAGTTAGCGGGAAGGCGTGCGCGTGCTTCAAGCGCTTTGCATCCATCTTTTATAAAATGCAAGAGTACATAATTATAACTTGTTTCTGTAAAAGTAGGGTCTATACGATGACTCAGTAAGACCGATGTTTTGTTTGGTTGTATGTTTTTCCCAATTTCTCGGGAAGACTTCACACGATTTTGTTCGTTAAATGTTCTCACATATTCTGTTAAACGCTTTGTGGTCAGGTGTGCATACTCGTAATAAAAATCATAACTGCTCCCCTGGGAACTGTGTTAAACAGCAGTGATGCAGCCGCTCTGCTCACCCCGCGTTAGCGCTTCGGTTCGTTGGCATTGCACTGGCCGAATCCCATCTCAACCGAATTGAGTGCCATCTGTTGGAAATCTGCCCCACCCTGCTGCAACATCGAGGTCACCACCCCACCATCGCCAGCGTTGCAGTCGCACAATCTTCGCCTCGCTTGGCTTGACTTGGGCTGGCTTGTCTTGGAATGGGGTGGCTGGTCTTGGACTAGCCTGGCCTGGCTTAGTCTGCTCCCCAGGCCCCTCTGTCACCAACACCATCCCCTCCTCTCTCTCTCTGCATGCTTGGTTCCCTCTCTCCCATCTCCCCACTCTCCCCCACCTCCTTCTCACACTCACCAGCACCATACGCTTTTCACTTGTCGTACCTCATCTCATCACCTGCCTTGCTTGTTGATTCACACAACACAATCTGCCCTGCACACCACACAACCGAGAGGGACACTTCTCTCCACTCTCGCCCACGTTCCCTCCCTCCCACCAATACCAGCTCCATCCGCTCATACGCAATTCGCTCACAGGATTTCTTCACCGCAACTCCCTACTTTTGTTCCCAGCCTCTAGTTCATCTCAGCGCCCGTATTGGTTCTTCCCAATCTGCTCACAACAGCGCGAGATTGTGCCTGCTCCCAAATTTCGGTTTCTCTGCCTTGGCGAACATAAGAGATAATAGTGAAGGCTGGTGATCAAGACTTCAAAGACCCAAGTTGTGTCCTCTTCAAGCTGGCTCCTCTAGCAGTCCCCATGGCACAAGGCGGCATTAAGTCTCCATCTCGCGACGCCATTCTCAAGTTCCGCTGGTCGTCACTCCTTGCAACCCGCAATCTCGACCGTCCTTCTTCCTCTCACCGCTCCGCGTCTGCGGAGACGCCGGCGACGGTCCCGGAAACGCTGGATTCTCCTCCTCCATCGAAACGGCTTCGCACGTGTTTGAGTTGTACCGTCGATCATGCTTCAACGGTTGACGACGGGATTCCGTTGGCGAGCATCTCGAAAACCGAGGCGGACTTTCGGATGCGTGGAGAAGAACAGACAGGTGTCGAATCTCCGTCACACGCGCCGCAAGGGACGGCCGACTCGCAGTGCCCGCTTCTGCACCTTCCTGTATGTTCTCGCGGCTTCGTCCGACAAAGGACTCCAGTCTTTTTCCAAGGACCCGCGAAATCCTAGCCTTTTCCGATATCCTGACTAGTATACCGTAAAGCTCTCAATCATCTCTAGACCGCAGCCTGCTCCGCTGCTGCTGCTGCGCCAAGTTCAATATTGCTGTGCTGCTTCCACTACCGAGCTGACTATCTATATGCTTTCCTCCTGTTGCCCTGCCCCGCGTCCCTTCGCCCATCCCTGTCGCGCAGAGCGAGCTGCTATCTTCCATCGTCGCACGTGTCGCAGCGTCGGCCAGTTGCCCCGGCGACATCGCAAATCTGCGACTAAGGTGCGTATGTTGCCACCCTGTCGCCCCCCTCTAACTAGTCCCTCCTGTTTCTCACCACCCGCTCCTTCTTTTATTGCACTTCTCATCGTACTCCCTCTTTCTGCTGCTACTGTTATTCTCCCTTTCTATTATCTTCTTCGGTCCTAGTTCTTCTTCTTCTTCTTCTTATCCCTCACGCCTTCCCCTCCGCCCTCTTCCTCCGCCTCTCCCCTTCCTCCCCGCAGCTGTCGCACCATGCGCGCAACGGCGCACGCCCCCGCAACACTGGCCGCGGCGAGTGCCGCGGCGGTGGAAGTGAGGCTGCGCCAGTGGTGCCCCCACGCGCACCAGTACTTGCGGGAGTGCTGCGAGGCCGGCAACGCCTCTGCCTGCCACTTCCTCGGCATGGTGAGCTCTCCACAGCCTCACATGCTGTCCTCTTTCTCTTCCTGCTCTTCTCTTCCCTTCTCTTCCCTTCTCTTCTCTTCTCTTCTCTTCTCTTCTCTTCTCTTCTCTTCTCTTCTCTTCTCTCCTCTCCTCTCCTTGGCTATCTTCTGCTGTACCTGCTCCTCACCCCTCCCATTACCTCTCTCCTTTACTCCTAACACCTCTCCTCCTCGCCCGTCCACTCCTTTCCCTCTCCTCTCCCCACCAGGTATCCTTCTACTGTCTCGACCTGCACCAGCAAGGCATGCAGCTACTGGCGCGGGCAGCCATGGCGGGTCACGCGCCGGCGCTCTACTCGCTCGCTGTCATGCACTTTAACGCCAGTGGACCGCTCGCCACGCGCCCTCGGTACGGCCTCACATGCTGCTGCCACAAACGTTGCCATGCCATGCCGTGCCATGTCATGCCATGGCGTTGCATTCCATCCCGTGCCACGCCATGCCAGGGGTCATACCAGACCACCACCGCATGTGAATACCACATGCTGTACCTTTGCTCCTCGGGCTTCTTGCAACCCCCCCTCACCACCCGCACCTTCCCTGCCTCCATCCATCCGGACCAACAACCCTCACACCTCTCCGCCGCACACCTTCCCCCCGCCCCTCCCCCTCTTCCAGCGATCTGCCGACTGCGGTGCAGCTGTGCATGCGAGCGGCGTCGGCGTGCTACGTCCCTGCTCTGCGCGAGCTCGCGCACTGCCTGCAAGATGGCTGTGGCGTGCCGCAAGACCCGCTCACCGCCCACCACCTGCTCTCTCAGGCCAACCTCCTAGAAGCGTCTCAACGGGTAGCAGCAGCAACAGCAGCAGCTGAAGCAGCAGCAGCAGCAGCAGCAGCCGGTGCTGCTTCTGCTGGTGTTGCTGTTCGAGGCGACAAGTCGACGTCACTGCACGGATCTGCAGCTTCCGCACCAGCATCAGCGACAGAGGCAGCAGCAGCGCTCGCAGAAGCACCAGCATCGGCCATGAGTGCAAAGGGTTCGAGAGCAACACACTCGGGCCTGCCTGAGCCTAAGCACTGGCCCTCCATGGGGAGTGGCAGGCTGGGTGGTGGTGCAGTGGACCAAGTGCTAGTGCGTAGCAGTGGCTTCGCATCTGCTGCCGGTTGTGGCGGGGATGCGAAGGAAGGGAGCGCGCAGGAGGAGCAGAGAGTGTTTTCCGTGGCCCCTCTCACTGGCGCGAATGGCCTGGAGGAAAGGCAGGCACGAGAGGAGCAAGAAGTGGGTGAGGAGGAGGAGGAGAGGGGGTGGATGCGAGGGGAGGAGTGGGAGGTGATGGGGTCTCCAACGGCCAGTGAGCTGCTGGAGTTGCAAGTGGCAGAGGAGAGGTGTCCCACAGACGGCACACACCGATTCCTTGTTGACTGGCACGCTGCTGCTGTTGCTGGTGGTGCAGACAGGTGTGCAGGGATGATGCGCGATGGGCCTGTGCATTGGGGCGGTTCAGCCCGTGATGCTGGTGCTGCCGCCGTCGCCGCCGCCGCCGCTGCTGCTGGTGCTGGCGTTGGTCGGTGTGGTGGTGGTGGTGGTGGTGGTGGTGGTGGTGGTGGTGGTGGAAAAGGCTGTGAGGTGGCCGGGGAGATGGGGATCGATATGACTGCAACGATGGTGGGCGGCGAGCAGGAGGTTCCGAGGGCGGGGACCAGCTCTCGCAAGCGAGTCTGCACCACCAGCAGCACCAGCAGTAGCACTGGTACTGGTGGTGTTGGTGGTGCTGGTCACACCGCGAGAATGGGTGGGAGCAACGGTGCAGCGACCCTGGAGGAATGTGGTGATTCGCACAGAGGGACAAGCGCAGGGGTGGATTTAGATGCTTCTGTGCGCGTGCGCCCACTGGCACTGGCTAGTTGTTCTCAGCACGGAGCAGCAGAACCCCTTGTCACCACGCATGATCTCATGAGCCATGCAGGAATGGCTGGAGTAGGAACTGCGGTTGCTGCAGCAGCAGGAGCAGTGACAGCGGCAGCACCAGCAGTAGCAGCGACAGTAGCAGAGGCAGAAGCAGCACTGGATGAGCTGGCCACTGCAGAAAGCAGGCCAGGCCCGTTTCCCTCCTCTATCCTGTTTTCATCCCATCTGCACTTGCTCCCCGCCCTGCAGACCTGCTCTAACCCAATGTGTGGGAGAAAGGAGAGCAGGCTCGGGGAGTTCAGATGCTGTGCAGCATGTGGAGAGGCTCGGTACTGCTCCCGAGCCTGTCAGGCAGAGGACTGGGCAGGTGGGCACCAAGTGGCATGCACCATGCTGGCTGCTGCAGTCATAGCTGTTGAAGAGTCTGAAGGGGCCCCTCTGAGAATGTCTGACATGATTGGATGACTTTTACTGGTGTGTCAATCCGTAAAGAGGAGGCATCGCAGATTGGATGGTTGTCTGTTCCGGTTTGGCCAATATGTGCCGGATGTTTCTGGTGTACACGAAAGTGCATACCACTGGAATAGCGTACAAAATTGTAGTTAGACTAGAGGGTTATGTGATGCAACGCAAAGCAGTGGGGTGGGGTGTCTGCCATATTTTTTACACTGCCTTGTTCAACCTTTGCCATATAACAATGTGGCTCAATGCAGCTACCATTTTATTGTTGGCATTCCATGGCACTTGATAATTAGTCATGCTTCCAATGTTGATTATTCTGGAACAGTCAGTGTGGAAACCCATAGCAAGTATGTTTTGGGGATCATCTAGGCTTGTATATCCGCCTCCTATAAGCTGTATGACTGACTGAAAGAAACGAAACGAAATCCTCGACAAGTTGCATCACCAAAAGTACGATACTGTACGTACAGTGTCGTAGCGTAGGACCGCCTAGTTGGCAGGAGGAAACCGGGCGGTGAAACGGGCAGAAAAACTCGACTAGAGGGAAAAACAGGCGGGAAAACGTTCCAAGCCAATCTGTCAGTGGAAATTCACCAACTATGCAGATCCCGAGGTGTGTTGCTTTTTTCCGGATGCCCTGGCGGAGTTTCCGAGGGCGAGGACGTTTTCAAGAAGGGGACTCTCTTGGAGTCGTCGTCGTCTCATCTGCCCCCTAGACAACCCCAGGGGTGAAAAGCGCTGGGATGCCTCACCCTTATCCCAAGGTTTGACGATTGCAACAACCACCCTATTCGCCAATAGAGGGACCAAAGGGCCCCTAGTACTCCATTTCTAAATGTTCTGGGTAGGCTTGGGAGTGGTGGTCTGCGCTCCATACTAAAGCTGCTGCTTCGTTGACGCTTCAGTTGAGTTGTATAGATTCTAACACATGAGCGCGTAGGGATGGTAGGTTTCGCTGCTGGCAGCAGAGACGGTGGTCTTCAGGCCGTTTCTGCCAACTTATTCGCGTCGCCCTGTCCACACACTCTCAAGGCCTTTTATCCGCTTCTCGTGTGCGTTAAGTAGTTACGCTCGCTTTCCCTCGCCGCGTTACGTAGTCATCGTTTCGTTCTCCATCTCTTGAATGCTCCAAATATCGTCAGGCAAGGCTGTCACCTCTTTAAAGCTTAACAACTTAACTATTTAGTACGTAGTGCGTGGACTGCCCGCGCAGGCTCCTTCAGCGAACACCTCATCGTCTGGTGACCCGTCGCAACTTATCGCAGCGGCAAGCCGTTTTCTGGGTGCCGACAACGAGCGCGTTGGTAGGATATCAATCAAAACGCAGGCTCGAGTGCTTCTTTCCTCCTCGCGTCTGTCACAGCACGAGTGCGGGTCAGGCTACTATCGCTTGGCCGGCTTTCAGTCGTTGGAGAGAGCGGAGGAGGATGGCGGGAAATGTGCACGCCGTTTGAACAAGATGCGGCGTGTAACGCACACGTGGCCTCTCCTGAGAATGAAGCCGTCGAGCCAGCTAACCTCCACTGTCTGGTTGACGTTTTACAGAATAATTTAAGCTCCTGATTATCATACTTAGCTAAGTTTCTGGGCTCTAGCATAAATACCCGTTCGTACTCCTCTTATATCCCCCAGACTCGCCCGCAACATTCTTTTAAGCCGCACCCGCCACATCATTCGCAATGCCGCGCCATCAACCACCCGCGTCCCGCCTGCAAGTCATCTATCATGGTTCCGCCTCTTCCCCCGACGGCTCCATCCGCGCGCAGCCGCAGCCCCTACGCCCCAATTCTTCCGCCATTAAGCGCATGGGCGGTCTCGGACGCGCAATCTCCCTCGGTTGCCCCCCGTCAAATATGACCGCAGGCGCAGGCGCCGGCGTGGGGATAACTTCTCCTGGCCTTGGGTGTTCCGCCGGAGGGGTTTTCGGCGGAGGCGCGGCAACTGCCACTACTGGTGCTTCCGTTGTCGGCGCTGACATCTCCCCAGGAGCAGGATCCGCGGGAGCTGCTGCGCTCGGCGTGAGGCTAGCGCCTGGCGGAGTCATCCCCGTGTTGATCCGCCAATCCCTCTGCATCCAATTCCTCTTGGACCCGTGGACGGCGCGCATCCGCTGCGCCAGCGCGGGCGCGGAGCTTGCGCTGGGGTATTCTTCCGCGGAGTTCGACCGCCTGTCCCTCTGTCACCTAGTGGATAGCCTCCCCCTAGCGGACTGGCTGCAGCTGGTTGCGCCATTGGCGGCGGGAGATGAGCTAGGCGCCAAGTTTAACATGAACTTGGTGGGGAAAGGGCGCGCGTTTTGCGCAGAGGCTGCAGCAGGAGGGGGAGGAACGGGCGGAAGCGGAAGCGGGCTGGGAGGGACTGCTGGCGGATGGAAAAGGGGATCAGTGTGGGGAGAGCAGCAGCAGCAGCAGCAGCAGTCACAGCACTCGCATTCTCAGTCGCAGCCGCAGCAGCAGGTCCTGCTTCCCGGAAAAGCGACGTCCCGTTTAGGCGCTACTCGTTTCAGCGGTGGCGTCGGCAATAGAAGCGGGCGGCTGAGCGGCGCAGCGGGGCTGTTCCCCCGGTCAGCGTCGACCACAGATCAAGACCTCTCTCGCTCCGCCTCGTGCAATGTTTTCGACGCCACGGACGACGATTCCTCGTTCGATTCCGGCCCGGAGGACGGCAGCGGCAGAGGCGCGCGGCAGGACTCCGGGTGGGAAGGCGGGCTGGGGAGGATGCGGGGCAGTGGGGGGGACGTAGGGGGAGGAGTCGGCGGAGGGGGCGGGGGAGCGGGGGGGGGGGGGAGGGAGAGGCAGTGCGGATTTCCCGCGGGTGGGGAGTGCGGGAAGCTGGAAGGGGATGGAGGTCGGGGGAGAGATGGGGATGGGGGTGGGGACGGGGCCGGGGGAGGAGGTGATGCGGGAGATTGCGGTATGTGTGAACCTGCAGTTTCTAGAGGTAGGCGGAGAGCGGGAGCTGGTAGCTACAGCTCATGAGATTCTCACCGGTGCTGGAGCAGCAGGGGAAACTGACACCTCTTCGTTATTGCAGCAGCAACAACCACAGCAGCAAGCGCAGCAGCAGCAGCAGCAGCCGCAGCTGCAGCTGCAGCTGCAGCGGCACAGCAGTCAGCAGCTCGCTGGTCCGTCCAGCGTGGGTTTAGCTGGCAGCGGTGGCGGGTGGGGTTCGGGAGGATACGGTAGGGAGAGTGGGTCGCCCAATGCTCTTTCCACCACCCGGGAGGAGGGCACAGAGTTTGGGACTGCAGGGGGGGGAGCAGGCGGGGGAGGGGGAGGGGGAGGGGGATTGGGAGGGGGTCGGTATTCCCCTAGTTGGCAGCAGACGCACACAGCAGCGCCTCCCTCGCGCCTGAGCAAGTGGCTCAGCCTGGACGTGGGCCTGGAGAAGGTGTCTCTGGAGGGGTTCGATGCGGTGGAGGACGGTGACAAGGCTGCGGAGTACTATGGTGCGACGTCCACGAGCAGGAGGGGCGTGAGAGGGGAGCGCGGAGGCAGAGAGAGAAAGGCAGCTGTGGCTGTGGATGGACTGGGAGTGGGCGCGGGAGGAAAGGGCCAGTCGAGGCGGTCGCGTTTGGGATCTGGTACGTGCTTGAATGCACCCACGCTCTGTTCTGTGGTCCCCTATCCTCCTCTACCTTGGTCGGTCCTTGTGCTGATTTGCTGATGAGTAAATGAGGGGGGGTGCTAGTGCTACATGTAACCAAGTAAAAACTTGTGCCTGTTAAGTAGAGAAACCCTTATCGAGCTCTTTACTCGCTGCTCTGTCAGAATGTGTTGAACTGAAAATGCATCAAGAAGGAATACTGTCGGTCGTCCATGTCCCCTCCCACATGCACTTCTACCTTTCTATCCCCCCTGCTCTCCCAGATGGCAGCGGCACCATATCTCCTCCGCTGCTGTTCTCCTCCGCCCCCGAAGGACCTCCTTGGTTGCCCAACCCTGCTCTCAGGTCAGTCACACGCACTCACTCACCCACCAACGAAACAGACTGTGGGAATAGACACCGCCCTCTCTCGTACCTACCAACCAACCACTTGCTCAACCAACCGGCTACAAAACAGCCACACAAAGGAATGAACCAACAAACTCACAAGTCACCCTTTTCCTCCCCCTCTCCCTCCCTCGCCCCTCCCCTTCTCCTCCTACTATCCCGCCCCGCTGCTCCCCTTCCCCTCCCGCTGCCCCGCTCCCCCATTCCCACCCATCCCCTCCCCATTCAACACACGGCAGGGATCTGCTGGACCATGTGGGCACGGCCGTGTTTGCCATGCGTCTGAGCACGTGCGAGATATCCCTCGCCTCGCCTGCCCTCGCGTCCCTGCTGGGTCGCCCTCTCTCCGCCATCTCTGGCCGCTGCCTTGACGACTTCATCCTCCCTGACGACCTGCAAGACTTCCAGGTCCCCACACAACCCACCCCGCACAACCCCCCCCACTCCCCTTTCCCCCAACCCCCCCCCCCCCCCCCCCAACCCGGCCCCACCGCACCCCGTCCCCTCCGCACCCCTCCTAGCTTCTATCATCATCAAGTTCTTAGACATCTCAAGAGTTTTTTTTCTCCCTGGTGACCTGCTTGACTTCCAGGTTCCCATCGCGCACGCCCTCCCTCCCCTCCGCACCACCATTGCTAGCGTCCATTATAGCCGCCTGCACCGTGGCCTGTCTCTCTTGATCTCTTTCGCTCCCACCCCCCCCCTCCCCTTCCTGCCCCCCTTCTCTCTCCATCCGTCCGTCCATCAATGCCTCTTCCCGTCTCTCTTTGGCCATCTTGTTTCTCGTTACCCCACAAGTACCCTTCAAACTCACTCCTCTCCACCCTTCTCCCTCGCTTTCCGCCACCCTCCCAACCTCCCTCTCGCTCTTTTTCATAACCATCCTCCCTCCTCACCAGGCCTGGGCAGCAGTGGTATCAGAGGCAGCGCAGGGCGGGCTGGCAGCGCTGGGCCCTCCCCCCACCCATTCGCAACCCTCTGCACTGCTCCACCAGTCGCCCCACAGCCACACCCACCCCCAGACTCAGCAGCAGGAGCTATACCGAAAGGAGTTCCGTGTCTCGCTCCCCAACAGCAAGACCCGCCGCGTGCGCCTCTCCTGCTGCCTCCCGCCCCCCGCGTTCCCTTCCTCCTCCTCCGCTCCCTCAGCTTCTTCTGCCTTGAACCTTTCCTACTCCTCGTCGCTCTCCGCGCTGCTGCCCTCCTCCTCCTCGTCCTTCTCCTCGGCATCGCTTGTTAGCCCTATGGACGCTCCTTCTGCTGCTGCTGGTACTGGCGGCGCTGCTGTTGCTGCTGCGGCGGCAGCAGGCGGTTTGCTCATGTGTGCGCTTGTGGAGTCTCCCTCTCCCGTTTCAGCTGCCAAGGAAGCATCATCGTCTCCCATGGACCAGCTCACACTCTCCTCCGTGAGTGCCCAAATCCCCTTGTGAGTTTCCCTGCCTAAAGCATCATAGTACTACGGACAGCTTCTCCTCAAACCTCCACCTCCCACCCCCCGATTCCCTTCATCCGTGCACCTGCATCAGGACCCAGCAGCGCAGAAGACGTGCATGGTGCTGGAGTCTCTGCCCGTGGGCGCCGTGTGGGTGCAGCAGAGGGAGGGAGGTGGCACCCCTCAGGTCCCCCCCCCCCCCCTCTCTGTGGCACCCCCACGTCCCCCCCACCCAACCCCCCCCACCTGCCTCAGGACCCAGCGGTGGAGAAGGCGCGCATGGTGGTGGAGTCTCTGCCCGTGGGCGCAGTGTGGGTGCAGCAGAGCGAGGGGGAAGGCGCCTCAAGTCCCCCCTAACCCCTGACTTCCCCCAATTGTGCACCCATGGCAGGACCCTGCGGTTGAGAAGGCGCGCATGGTGGTGGAGTCTTTGCCGGTGGGCGCAGTGTGGGTGCAGCAGAGGGACGACGGCGGTGCGACGGTGCTGCTGAACGAGCGCCTGGAGACGCTGGTGGGGTACTCGCGGCGGCACTTCACGTCCCTTGAAGCCACGTACACCGTGCTGTTCCGCGATAAGGCCATGGAGGTGAGTGAGGGGCGGGGAGGGGAGGGGAGGGAAAGGGGGAAGGGGATACGGGGAGGAAAGGAGGGAGGGAGGGATGTGAAAGGCAGGGTATGTGGGAGGTGGGGTATGGGGGAAAGGCGAGGAGAGAGTGGGTGCAGTGGGTTTTTTTTTGTGGTTCATGGGGAATGAGACGCTTGTGGTGTGGGGTACTCGCGGCGGCACTTCACGTCCCTTGAAGCCACGTACACAGTGCTGTTCCGCGATAAGGCCATGGAGGTGAGAGAGGGGAGGGGGCGTCTGTGCAGCGGTGCTGTCCAGTTCAGCGACAGAAAAGGGGTTGCGGTGGACCGGGGGGGGGGGGGGGGGGGGAAGGTGCTTGTCCTGGGGTAATGGGTGCGGAGGGGGAGAGCTGGCTGGATGCAAGGATGCGCGTGCATGGTGGTTACATCCTTTTTTGTATACGACGGCGTGCATGGTGCGTAAGGATGGCGAGCGGCGCTGCCGTCCCCCCATCCCATCCGCCCGCCCATGTTTGAGCCGCGTTTGTGCGGACAGAGCGTGTGCCCTCCCTCCCTCCTCCCGCCCAACCCCCCACACACCCGCTCACCAACCCACCACCGATCCATCGCTCCCCTCTCTTCCTCCCCCCTACCCCCACTCGCCATTGCCCGTGTCCTGTCTCCCGCCCTACCCCCACTCTCCCCCCAGGCGCGGTCGATGTTTGAGAGGGACAGGGCGAGTGGGCAGGTGGTGCTGCGCACGCATGTGATGGTGCGCAAGGATGGCGAGTGGCGCTGCCATCCCCCCATCCCATCCGCCCGCCCATGTTAGAGCCATGCTTGATCAGATTGAGCAAGGTGCAAAATTTCGGCAAGTGTAAAATACGGTCCGTTTTTTACGCTCGTATTTTACGGTCAGATTTAAAAAATTCAGCCGTTTTTTTGTTAGAGATTTTGTGACATTTTTTTTTTTTTTGAAAACAGTAGACACGACTCCGCTCCTGACCAGGATAGCAAAGAAGCAATACAATGCTAACAGAGTGTCTTGGTTGCGTTCGTTCGACCCTCCTCCTCCTCCCCCCCATACTCTTCATACTCTCCTCCCTGGAGTCACCGTTCTACTACAGTCCCACTGTTAAATCCCCTTCGTCATCCTCATAGCTGGTTCAGCCGATCGAGGGTCATGGTTGGAACCAATACTTCAAAATATGTGTAAACCAACTGGTTTCAAGGTTTTTGCTGTAAAAAACGGCCGTTTTTTTGCACCACATTAAAATTACCACTTTTTGGCGTTTTAAAACGTTTTAAACGGCCGAAAAATGCGATAGCGTTTTATACGCCAGAATTTCAACCTTTCGGTCGTTTTTTTGCACCTTGAGATTGATCGTGCGCCCTCCCTCCTTCTGTCCGTCCCCCTGCAACCCTCCCCCTGCAACCCCCCCCCTGCAACCCCCCTTCTGCAACCCTCCCCCTGCAACCCTCCCCCTGCAATTCTTCCCCAGGCGAGGTCGATGTTTGAGAGGGACAGGGCGAGTGGGCAGGTGGTGCCGCGCACGCACGTGATGGTGCGCAAGGACGGCGAGCGGCGCTGGGTGGAGGTGGCGCGCAGCATCTTCCCCGGGGGGGAGCTCTGGCTTGTCACCGATGTCACGCACAGGCTCGTGCTGCAGGAGCGCTTCCGACTGCTCTTTGAACTCTCCACTGTGCGTTGCCGTGGTGGTGGGGGGATGGGGAGGGAGATGGGGGGGAGAAGGGGGATAGTGGGGCCGGCTCAACATCCTGTTGCTGTGTGTTCTCTGTGGGTAACAATGGGGTGAGACGGGCTGGAGGGTGATGGACATCGTGCAGAGCACATGAGAGGTGATGCACACACCTCGTTCTCGTATCTCACTCACTCTCCACTGCCCACTCGCTCCCGCATCTTGCTCGTCGTGTCGTGTCGGCGATGCCGTTCATAACATGCCATGTCGTGTCATGCCGTGCCATGCCGTGCCGTGCCATGCCATGCGATGATGCCATGCCATGCTGCGCCGTGTCTCTCACACATACGCACCCGACGTGCAGGACGGGTATCTGCTGGTGGTGGACACGGGCATCAGCGACTGCAACGACGCCGCAGTGCAGTGCCTGCGCCCATGCCGGAGCAACATTTAGTCGACTCAAAAACCACCCTATCTCATCTCTCACACACTCCTACACACCTCACATCCAGGACGGGTATCTACTGGTGGTGGACACGGGCATCAGCGACTGCAACGACGCCGCCGTGCAGTGCCTGCGTCTGAGCGACCGCAGCGACCTCATAGGCAAGCGACTCGTGGAGCTCTCCCCCCCGCTGCAGCCCGACGGCCGGCGGTCGGAGGACAAGTACGAGGAGGTGCATGCGCTGGCGGCTGAACAGGGCCACACCAAGTGAGTGCCTGGATGGGGCGAGTGGGATGTGGCTGGGGGCTTGAGGGTTGGGAGGTTGAGGTGTGCGACTGAGGGGCGCGTGAGGTGAGACTAGTACGAGGAGGTGCATGCGCTGGCGGCTGGACAGGGCCACACCAAGTGAGTGCGCGGGTGGAACTGGGGTGTGAGTCTGGGGTTGCACGGGGTGACTTTTGAGTCGGCTCTGAAGCCGTCGCTGCAGCCCGATGGGTGGTGGCCCGAGGACAAGTACGAGGAGGTGCACGCGCTAGCGGCTGAACAGGGCCATACCAAGTGAGTGCCTGGGGTTGCAGGGTGGAGCTGGGTCATTGGGTGCAGGCGGGGTGTTGGTTCAGGCAGGGGCATTGACTGGGGCTGCTGTCTTGTGGGCTGGATGGATGCTTTGTCTGTGGTGGCGAGTCTGACGTAGCTGGCACAGGAAGCCAGGTTCCCATGACTCCCAGTTCCCCTCATCCGCTCTCCCGCCTTCCCCCCTGCCTCACGCAACACCTCTTTTTCTCTCCCCCTGCTCCCCTCGCCCCCGTCGCCCCCACCACCCATGGCCTGCGTGCGCATCAGGTTTGAGTGGGCGTACGCGGCAGGGGACGGGTCGACAGTACTCATGGAGGTGACGCTGACGCACGTGGTGCTGCAGGGGCAGCCCACGCTGCTGGCCGTGTGGCACGACCTCACCGACATCAAGCTCCACGCCGCCGAGCTGCAGTCCGCTAAAGAGGCCGCGGAGAAAGCCAGCCAGGCCAAGAGCCAGTTCCTCGCCAACATGAGCCACGAGATTCGCACCCCCATGAATGGAGTCATTGGGGTGGCTGAGCTGCTGCTGGGGACGGATTTGACGGCCGAGCAGCGGTCTTATCTGGAGATAATCCGGTCGTCGGGGGATAACTTGCTGAGGATTATTTCGGATATTCTGGACCTGAGCAAGATTGAGTCGAGGAACCTGGCGCTGGAGTCGCTGGAGTTTGACCTGCACCAGCAGGTGAGATCCGGGTGGGGAAGGGAAGGTTGGAAGAGTTGGGAAGGTTGGAAGGGTCAGAATTACAGTGGCAGGTGAGGGACTCGAGTGGCTCACTGGCAGGTCTAGGAACCTGGCGCTTGAGGCACTCGAGTTTGACCTGCACCAGCAGGTGAGGGGCGGGTGGAGAAGGCTGAAATTTTTGGATCTACACCGGCAGGTGAGGGCCGGGTGGGGAAGGTTGGAAGAATCAGACCTACAGTGGAAGGTGAGGGACTCAAGTGGCTCATTGGCAGTCGAGGAACCTGGGCTGGAGTCACTCGAATTTGATCTGCACCAGCAGATGAGGGCTGGGAAAGTTGGAAGGGTCAGACCCGCTCCGACAGGTGAGGGACCAGCGCTTGAGTTTGACTTGCACCGGTAGGTCACTGACGGGGGAAGGTTGCAAGAATCGCGTTGGAAAGACCAGGTTGGGAGCACAAGGGTTAATGTGGAAACTGAGGTGATTCTAACCAGGGGCTTTGTCGGCCGTCTCCCTGTCTCATCATATCTCCTGCTGCAGGTCACAGAGGCGTTGGCGCTGCTAGAGGTGGTGGCGAAGGACAAGGGGCTGTACCTGGAGGTGGAGGTGGAGGAGGGCGTGCCGCAGATGGTGGTGGGCGATGCAGTGCGGTTGAGGCAGGTGCTGCTGAATCTCATCTCCAACTCCATCAAGTTCACGGATACGTAAGTGCTGGTGGAGGCGTGTGCAGTTGGCCCTTTGTTAGAGAGAGGTGGGCTTGGTTGAATGACTGATCCGAAGGTGCATGCATGCATGTGTGTGGTGCTGAGCCCTGGGTTATTTATTTGTGACTCACACATACTGTCTGGGGAGTTGTGGCGCGAATCGTGATGGTTGCATGTGTTGGCAAGGCATGCTTGCCTGCTGGTACGCATGGTTAAAGCGACGGGCAACTTTTGGCAGTGTTGGGTTCAGAAGTTTTTTTTTTGAACCAGGCTTGCCAGCGCGAAAGTGTTGGCTGGCGAAAACCAGGATTTCGTGCAGACACTTTTCATCTGCAGTAACAGTTCGCCAGGGTTCTGGGTTTTGGGTGGCAAATGTGCACCGTCGCTTTAAAAGCTGCCTCGCTTACCAAATTCCATCGCATCAAGCCATTGCTCGTGTTGAATCACCTTTCACCTCTCCCCATCATCTCCTTGCTCTCCTCTCCTCCTCCTCCTGCTCCTCCTCGTCCCCTTCCCCCATGCCTTTCCCGCACTCCAGTGGCGGAATTAGCGTAAATGTGCGTCTGGCGCTGCCTGCTGAAATCGCGTCAGTCAGGGCGATCCTAGCAAAGCTACCCACACCAACACTCAACACCAGGGGGGCCGCTGCTGCTTCTGCTACTGCCGCTGCTGCCACAGCCACCGGAGCCACCAGTTCTGGTACCAGCACCAGTGCAGGTGCAGCAGCCACAGCTGGAATGACTCCCGCTGCTGCTGCCACTGCTGCTTCATCCAGTCCAACTGGTGCTTCCGCTGCTGCCGCTGTTGCTGCTACTACTGCGCCCTCTCCCCTGGGGCTGCCATCAGGGGCCACGCACGGGAGGAGCAAGGAGGGCGGAGGGGCAGCGGGAGGGGGGGGAGAGAGGGTGATGGTGCGGTTTGAGGTGCGGGACACGGGCATAGGCATGGACGATGCCAGCAAGAGCCGCCTCTTCCGCGCCTTCTCCCAGGTCACCACCGTCACAGCTCCCTCCTTCCCACTGCCTCGCCGTTCTGCCTCTCTTTGTCTCTTTCTGCCTGTCTGTGTGTCTCGTTTCTCCCTATGTGTGTTGGGGCTGGCAATCCGTCAACCAAAAAAGTAACCCACCCACGCACCCACCATCCCTGCCCTTCCCCTCCAGGCGGACAACTCGACGAGCCGCAAGTACGGCGGGACAGGCCTAGGCCTGGCGATCTGCAAGTCGCTGTGCAACCTGATGGGCGGGGACATAGGGCTGGAGAGCAAGGTGGGGCAGGGGTCCGTGTTCTTCTTCTTTGTCAACCTGCTCGTCGTGCCCGACCAGCCGAGGGGAGGCGGCGCGGTGTCGTCGGAAGCAGAGTCTGCGGAGGAGGGGCTGCTGTGGCGCCACCTGCAGAACATGCGCGTGCTGGTAGCAGAGGTGAGTGTGCTGGTGGCCGAGGTGAGTGTGCAAGAGAGTGCTGGTTACGTGCTTGCCTGATGGTTTGGTTGAGGTGAGTGCTCGTGGCAGAGCTGGGTGGTCGTGGCTTTGGTAAGTGTGCTCGTGGCCGTGGTGTGCGCTCTTGTGTGCTGGTTACATGCTTGCCTGATGCTTTTGCTGCGGTGTGTGCTTGTGGCAAAGGTGCGTGTGCCACGCGCATGCTGCACAACCTGGGCATCAACCTTCCCCTTTTTTCCATCCCTTCTCCCTTCTCCCCTGTTTCCTTTGCGCCCCTCTCACTTGCGCGCCCACCAGGACAACAAGGTGAATCAGATGGTGGCGACGCGCATGCTGCACAACCTGGGCATCAAGTATGACCTTGTGGAGAATGGCCGCCTGGCACTTAGTGCATGCGAGGCGCGCAAATACGAAGTCGTGCTCATGGTGGGTGCGGTGCACTGGCCAGTCTTTTCTCTGTCCGCCTTGTGGGGTTTTCTGGGCTGGGATGGGGTGGGTGGGGAGGGTGGAGTGGGATGGGGTGGAGTGTGGTATTGTGTGGTGGAAAACGGTAGTGGCCAGGCGTGCGTCCCTGCTCTGTGCATCTGTTTGTCGCTGTCACTGTCAGCCCAATACCGTTCAATACACATTCTACTCACTGTCACTGCTTTGTTCAAGGCTCAATGTAATCCCCCTTCTCCCCCCCCCTTGCCTCCACAGGACTGCTTCGTGCCAGAGATGGATGGCTTTGAGTTGACTGACTTTCCCCTACCACCCTTTCCTTCTCGTCCCCCTCACTCCCTCCTTCCACTCCCCTCCCCTCCTCTCCCTTCCCAACACAGGACTGCCACATGCCAGAGATGGATGGCTTTGAGGCAACACAGAAGATCCGAGAGATGGAGGTCGAGAGAGTGCGGGCATACAAGGAAGCCAAGGCTGCAGCCAAGCTCCTGCAGCAGCAGAACCCTGGGAACCCCCCACCGCGCCGCCACCTCCCGCGCCCACACCGCACGTTTATTATAGCTCTTACCGCAAGCGCTCTTAGCGAGGACAAGGAGAAGTGCATTGCTGCTGGCATGGACCATTATTTATCGAAGCCGATCCGGCCGAGGGATTTGGAGCGGGCGATCAGAGAGAGTGTGGTGGCTTTGAAGGACCTGCATGCAGAGGAGGGGGCAGCGGCGGCGGCGGGAGGGGGAGGCAGCACGAGTGCATCTGCAGCCGCGGCAGCTGCGTCTCGGTCGCGGAAACGGATGGTGAAGCTGAGTCTACAGCAGTCGCCTAATGTGGACGTGTGGAGCGACATGACTAGTGATTCGGACAGTAGCGGGTTCTTCTCGGATGCTTCCGTTTCGTCCGCGACTGTGAGGAGATATAAAGGGGGCGGTGGGGCAGGGGGAGGGGGGGGAGGAGCAGTGGGGAGAGCGGGAGGGGCGCGGGAGCTCGGAGGGGAAGGGTACAGCAGTGGGGGGGGGAGCGGGGGGAGTGGGGGGGGGCGACACAAGCCTCCCTTGTCTTCCCCCAGGCGTATGAGACCTGTGCCAGAAGGGGCAGGTGCAGGGGCGGATTCAGGGGGAGGTGGTGGAGGGGGATTAGCTAGTGGTGGTGGTGGCAGTGGTGGTGGTAGGCCAGGATCAGGTGGGGGAAACAGGGGCAACGTGAGAGGAGGAGGAGGGCGAGGGGTGAAGGCAGAGAGTGAGGAAGAGGAAGAGGAGGAGGAAGAGGAGGAGGAGGAGGAAGAGGAGAATAGGTGGAGTGAGAGTGGGGTGGGTGAGGGGCTTAGGTCTCCAAGGGCTGTAGGGAGGGGCAGTGGCAGCGCTAGTGGATCTGAAGGTCGGAAAGCAGTGCTGAAAGGAGCAGGAGCAGCAGCGGGAGCAGGAGCAAGAGGGGCAGTGGGATTGGGCAGAGGAAGTGGGAGGAATGATGCAGGTGGGGCAGCATCAGGGTCAGGAGGTCAAAGGCATGGATATGATGGGCAAATGTCTCCTCTCAGCCCCAGGCGACAGGGAGCAGGATTAGGAGGGGGCTTTGAAGGGCCATCGTCAGCTGAGCAGCAGTGGGCAAGGTGCAAGTGCTGGTGGTGGTGGTGCTGGTGGTGGTGGCGGGGTGAAGAGGCACCCTGGTGGTAGTGGCGTGAGGGAAGGGGGAGGCGGGCCCAAGCCCCCCCTCTCACCAAGAAGCAGGGCTGCTGGAGCCTCTGCGGCTTCTGCTGCTGCTCCTTCCCGTGCTGCTACCGCCGCTGCTGCTGGTGGTGAGGAGGGTGGCAGGGCGGGATGGAATGAGCATGGGGAGGAGGCAGGGGAGGAGGAGCAGCAGCTGTATCTGGGGCAGCAGGATGGGGGGCTGACCAGTGACGATGGCAGCACAGGTAGTGCTCCCACTATGGAAGAAATCTGGTCCAAGATCAGTGGGGGCGGAGGAGGAGGGGGAGGAGGAGGCGGGGGAGGAGGTGGAGGAGGAGGGGGAGGAGGTGGGGGGGCCTTGGGAGGAGGGCAAGGAAAGGGTAATGCAGGAGGAGGAGGGGGCGGTGGAGGAAGCAAGGGGGGGTTCGCAGGTGCAGGGCCGGGAGGGAGAGCAGGAGGAGCAACAGCTGCAACACGCTCGCAGTCAGCAGTGACTCCCATGCTGGGTTTATCCCCCACGTTCGCTCGTCCCTCCAGCCCTCCTAGGATCAGTGCTGCTGCCGTAGACCCTGACTCGCCTCCCACCCGCCCCTCGCCTTCCCCCACCCGTCAACGCTCCCTGGGGGGCCCTGTTGGAGGTGCGCGAATGATGATGGATGGTGGCGCTGCTGACGGTTTTGCTTTCAGTTTCGGCTCCACCTCTCCTGTTCCCCTCAGCCCGGAACGCGTGCATGCATCAGCATCAGCAGGAGCAGGAGTGGGAGCAGCAGGGGGCGGTTCTCAAGGAAATCTGTCTCCAGGTTTGGCCTTTCCCAGCTCTCTCTCTGCATCTGGCGTGGTCTCCAGCTCCCCTGGTGGGCTGCTGTCTAGCCCACGCATGGACTCGCGCCTGCCGCGCCCTGAGGACCACCGGCGACGCAGGAGAGACAAGGTAGGGGGCGTTGGTATGGACGGGTTACACCTGGGCGCTGGAGGACCTGCGGCAGGGGCAGGCGGAGGAGAAGGAGGGGAAGGAGTAGGAGGAGGTGGAGGAGGAGGAGGGTTGGCAGTTGCGGGCGGAGGTGGGGATTCTCACGGCAGGTCTCCCTTGCGCTCTCCTGCCCGTGCCCGCCCCACAACGCACCCAGCGTCTGCTGGTGCTGCTGGCGGTGCTTCTGGTGCTGCTGGTAGTGGTGGTATGTCAGGGCATGCATGTGGAAGTGAGGGGGCTTCAGACAGAGAGCGAGACCATTCCCACAGTCATTCCCACCCCCACGGTCACCCCCATCCTCATCCGCACCCTCATTCTTCGCACCACCAGCATTCGTCCAGCCTGCATGCGGGCAGCACCGGTGCTGCAATCCCGCGCGGTCCAATGCACCAGGCCGCTGGCCTGCGCCGCTCCCTCACTCCCGAGGGGAAAAGGCGAGTATCCTGTCTCGTCTCTTCTCTCGCGCCTCACCAATCTCACTGCTGGAGGGGACAACGCAGGAGGTGGTGGTGGTGGTGGTGGTGGTGGTGGTGGTGGTGGTGGTGGTGGTGGTGGTGGTGGTGGTGGTGGTGGTGGTGGTGGTGGTGGTGGTGGTGGTGGTGGTGGTGGTGGTGGTGGTGGTGGTGGTGGTGGTGGTGGTGGTGGTGGTGGTGGTGGTGGTGGTGGTGGTGGTGGTGGACAGAGCAAGGGAGGTGGGGAGGGAGGGGTGGGATCCAGGCACATGCTAGCAGAGCCGTACGGGCATGGGAGGCTGGGAGGAGGAGGAGGGAGCGGGGGCAGTGCAGGAGGAGGGGGCGCAGCGGGAGGAGGGTTTGGTTACGGGATGGGGATGGGTGGGGGAATGGGTCCAGGGAGAGGCGGGGCAGGGAATCCGTCCCCCTTGTGGCGTAGTGCCAGTTTGGAGCCGCCGAAGAGGCAGATCCGCACGGGTGCGCAGCAGAAAGAAGCGCAGGATTTGCGCATGTGGATTGACCGTGCGACGACGTCGAAGCTGGATTTGTGGATTGATCAAGTGGTGAACAGCCCGAGTGGTGGAAGCAGTCCGGGGGGGAGCGGGCTTGGGGGGAGCGGAGGGGGATCGGGAGGACGAGGGCGGAGCTCTCTGGGGCTTGGGGAACGGCCGATGACCGCAGGTGGTGGTGCTGGTCAGAACAGCAGCAGCAGTAACAACAGCAGCAGCAATGCTGGTGGCGGTGGTGGTGGTAGGGTGTCTGGCAGGGCAACAGGTGGAAGCTCCGAGCCCTTGCACTCTCGATTACAGGCTCTGAAGCAGCAGGAGGGTGGGGGAGGAGGAGGTGGAGGGGGGAGCGGAAGCGGAGGGGGAGGCGGAGGGGGCGGAGGAGGAGGACAGCAGTACAGGGGGGGAGGAGCAGGTGGAGGCAGCAGGGGAGGTGGGTTGGGTTCACCGGGGGGAAGCCCTGGAGAGAGCCCGAGAGGGGGAGGCAACGGCGGGCCAGCTCAGCGACGAAGCGCTTCGTCCGGCCATTGATTGGTGTAGATCGGGGCTGAGATGAAATATGATATGTATGCGATGTGGTGGTAATGGTCGCTCATGCGTTGTAACGGTGGGGCTGGTGGGTGTGGGCTACTTTACTGCATCATGCAGCCCGGAAAGTGTGGTGTGGTGTGGTGTGGTGTGCAGTGGTGTCCTCCTCAGATCCCTGCATTGGCATTTGGCACTCCCCCTGATGCAGAAGTTTCAATCGGATGGCTGGCTGGAGCAATTTAATTCAGATGCGGAACTCTTTTACAATTTATTAGTAGCAGCCAGCCCTGTTGCCAAGCTGGGAGGTTACGCACAGGGTCATCTGGATGTTTCATTTCCAGACTCAGTAGACATGTGATGCTCTGTTAGTAGGGAGTACCGTGTAAACATGGACATGTTTTACCGTAGGTGCTTATGAATGTAGTGATTAATATTCCAGAGTTTCTAGTTTTAGCTGTTAGTGTTAGGCTTCATAGCTACACCGTACGAGTTATCTTTTGGCAGCCACAGTACTCCCACGTTTCTCTCCTTCCCAAAGCAATGTCAGTGCGCAAACCTTCAGTTCTGTCAACAACCAGAGGGGACCGAACCGAAACGTTTCGTTTTTAACGGTAACCGAACTGAACCGGTTTCTGCATCCAACACTCCCAAATTCCTTCATTGGCAAACCGTGCCCTAATTCCTCCGAATCCAAAGCCACGTTGTTTGTTGGGATTTGCTGCTAGTTAGGCCACTAAATCTTTCGCGAAGGCACTCGCGAATAGTCCTCCGCTTGCCGTTGTCCGTCTGGCGAGCTAACCCTGCTCGTTTTCTCCTTGCATCTCCTAGTCCCTCGCGCTCGCTCTTGGGTCCCCGTCACCACTTCCGTAACCCCGTTCCTGCATCGCGATTCACTCGTCACTAGTCCGTCCTCGCTAAATCTAGCGTCGTCTTCAGTGTCCGCCTTCCCGTCTCTTATTCCGAATCACACTCCCTGCCACTCTCCCGCTTATTATCCTCACACCCCTCGCCGCTGCACACCCCTCGTTGGTCCCCCACGCGTCGCCGTCGTCGTCGCCCGTCGTCGTCGTTGTCGTCGCCTTCTCCGCACCTCCTCCCCTTTTTTCGGCGTCCCCCCACCGTCCGCCACCATGGTGCTCGCGGAGCTGGGCGGGCGCATATCGCGCGCCATCCAGGCGATGAACCGCGTGACGGTGATCGACGAGAAGGCGCTCAACGAGTGCCTCAACGAGATCACGCGCGCGCTGCTGCAGGCCGACGTGTCCTTCAAGATGGTCATGAGCCTGCAGCAGAATATTAAAAGAATCGTCAATCTCGAGGAACTGGCTGCGGGGCATAACAAGCGAATCATCATTGAAAAGGTGCGTTGGGGTCGATTCTACTGCTGCTGCAGCCGCTGCCGCTGCTGCAGGCCGACGTGTCGTTCAAGATGGTCATGAGCCTGCAGCAGAACATTAAGCGCATCGTCAATTTCGAGGAACTGGCTGCGGGGCATAACAAGCGGATCATCATTGAGAAGGTGGGTTGCAGTTGCGGTTGCGGTTGCTGCTGCCGCTGTGCGTTTGACTTGGATCGTCATTGAAGATGTCGGTTTGCTGCTGCGGCTGCAGCATCACGAGCGCCCTCAGCACCCCCTTCTACCAGCACAACACGAGCACCGCCCACTCACTCACTCATTCACTCACTCACTCACTCACTCACTCACTCACTCACGCCACCTTGCCTCTCGCTTACCCCCTGCCTGCTTCCTCCGCCCCGTGCGGCGTGCTATGTGCCGCGGCAGGCGATATTTAACGAGCTGTGCAACATGCTGGACCCCAACACGACGCCGCACTCCCGTCTCAAGGAGCTTCCTTTTCTTTTCGCCTTTCCCTCTCCCCCCCCTGCTCCCTCCCTGCGTCCCGTGCTTTCTCTTTCTCTGGTCTGCTGTTGCGTGCTATGTACCGTGGCAGGCGATATTCAACGAGCTGTGCAACATGCTGGACCCCAACACAACGCCGTACCAGCCCAAGAAGGGCAAGCCCAACATCATCATGTTCGTCGGCCTGCAAGGTCCGTCTGGGCCCGCTAGAGGGGGCCCGCTCCTTCCCTCCCCCTCTCGCTCCCTGCCTCCCTTTCTGCCTCTCTGCCTCCCTGCCTCCTTGCCTCCCTTCCTTGCTTCTGCCGTCCCGCTGCTGCCCCTCCGTCCCTCTCGTCCTCTTCCCACAATCACATGCCACATGTCCTCTCCTCCCATACCCAACCCTCTCCTTTCTCCTCTCTGTCCCATTCTCCCTCTCTTCCTCGTTCCCTCCCTCTCCGCTTTTCCTTCCCCGCGCTCCTCCTCTCCCCCCCTCCGCCCTCCCCTTTCCCCTTTCTCTCCCCCTCTCTCGCCCTCTCACTTCCCCAAAGTCAGGCCAGACGACTACATAAGGCTAGCACGCAAACCCTAACTCTCTTCCACACCTTTCCGTCTCCTCATCCCTCCCCACCCCTTTCCCACCCTCCCTCCCCATCGCAACGCCACCCGCCCTCGTCCCCCACACCCCCCCAAACCCCCCCTCTCAGGGTCCGGTAAGACAACGACGTGTGGCAAGTACGCGCACTTCTACCAGCGCAAGGGGTGGAAGCCCGCGCTCATCTGCGCCGATACCTTCCGCGCGGGTGCCTTTGACCAGCTCAAGCAGAACGCCACCAAGGCCAAGATCCCATTCTACGGCAGGTGCGTGCTGGGTGTGTGGGTTGGTGGGGGGTGCTGGGCGGGTGGGCGTTTAGGTGCGTGCGTGGTTGGTTCCAGCTCAAGCAGAACGCCACCAAGGTCAAGATCCCCTTCTATGGCAGGTGCGTGCTGCGTTGGGTGGGTGGGCGTGGGTGGGTCGTTGGGTGGGTGGGTTGTGTATCGTGGGCCGATTCAATGCTCAAGCAGAACGCCACCAAGGCCAAGTTCCCATTCTGCGGCAGGTGCGTGCTGCGTTGCGCGGGTGCGGGGAGGAAGGGTAGGTAGGGTTGGGGCGGATTGTGGGCGTGGGTTGGGTTGGGTGGGTCGTGTGTCTTGTTGTTTCTTCCAAGTTAATTTAACGCAGAACGCCACCAAGGCCACGATTCCCTTCTAAGGCAGTCACGTGCAGCGTGCGGGGTGGGTGGGTGGGTGCTCTCACTCTCTCTCTCAAATCCCTCTCCCCGGCCTTCCACCCTTTTTCGACCCTTTTGTTTCCCACTCCCAATGCTTTTCTCTCCTCTCCCCTCCCACCATTTATTGCCGCACCGCCGCACGCCTCCACTGCTGCATTGCTCCGTCGTCCCCAGCTACACGGAGACGGACCCGGCCAAAATCGCCCAGGAGGGCGTGGCGATAATGAAGAAGGAGGGGTGCGACCTGATCATCATCGACACCAGTGGTCGCCACAAGCAGGAGGCCTCGCTCTTTGAGGAGATGCGCCAAGTCTCCGAGCTCACGGTCATGCTCTGATCTCTCACCCACCTACTCACCCACCTAGCTACTTTAATTAAGTTGATACATACATATGTGTTTGTTTCCTTCCGCCACTCGGCTTTTGAGGAGATGCGCCAAGTCTCCGAGCTCACGGTCATGCTCTGCTCTGCTCCCTCCCTGCCACCCGGTTAACTAGCTTATGTATATGTATTCGTCACGTGGATCTTACATGTACGTCTTTATTTATCTGCTCCACTCGCTCTTTGGGGAGATTTGCGCCAAGTCTCCGAGCTCACGGTTGTTCTCCCTCCCGCCCACACGCTGACCCACCCACCCACACACCCACCCACGCACCCTCATTGTTGATTCACCTGCAAGACATTATGCTCCTCATATGTAACCATATGTCTACTCCTTCCCATTTTATTCTCTTCCCTTTCTCCGCTCCCCTCCCCCCTCCCCCTCTCCCCTCTCCCCTTCCCCATGCGGCACGCCACAGAACCCTGACCTGGTGCTGTTTGTGATGGACAGCAGCATAGGCGAGACCAGGCGGCATACGGCCAGGCACACCCAGGCAGTTTCAAACGTCTCCCTCTTCCCATTTCCTTCTCTGCCCTCCCGTCTTCTCCACATGCCAATCCTCTCCCAGGCAGAACCCTGACCTGGTGCTGTTTGTGATGGACAGCAGCATAGGCCAGGCACACCCAGGCACTCTCAAACATCTCCCTCTTCCCATTTCCGTCTCCCCATTGCTCCCTTCCCCACGCCACAGAACCCTGACCTGGTGCTGTTTGTCATGGACAGCAGCATAGGCCAGGCGGCATACGACCAGGCGCAGGCGTTCAAGGCGAGTGTGCCCGTGGGAGCTGTCATCATCACCAAGATGGACGGCCACGCCAAGGGTGGTGGCGCCCTCAGCGCGTGAGTGCTGCTGAGTGTGCTGAGTGTGTTGACTGTGCTGAATGTGCTCACCGCAAATGTCACCTCGTTACAACGTCACACGTTTGACAGTTGTTCGACATCCGTAATTGGCGCACACGAGCACACGGACAAGTTTCATTTTCTTCCATTCCCTCGCGCGCTCTCCCCTTACCTTCTCCCCTCCCCCCTCCCTCCCTCCCCTCTTCCCAGTGTGGCGGCCACCAAGTCGCCAGTGATCTTCATCGGTAGAGGAGAGCACAAGATTGACCCCTCTCGATACCCTCCCTCTCCCACCTTTCCCTTCCCTCTTCTCCTCCCCCCCAGTGTGGCGGCCACCAAGTCGCCAGTGATCTTCATCGGTACAGGAGAGCACATAGACGAGTTCGAGCCGTTCGAAACCAAGGCCTTCGTCAGCAGACTGCTGGGTATGTAGAAAGGAGGGACGGGAGGAGGGGAGTGGAAGGGGGCAGGGGGAAGGGGAGTGGGGGGAGAGGAAAATTGGGAGGGGAGTAAGGACGGGGAGGATACGAACCACGAGTAGGACGAAACAGGAAAGGAATAAGGGGCGTTTCTGCAAGTGTTGTTCGATTACACGACACCCCCCTTCCTTGCCCTTTTCCCTCAACACCCTCCCGCCCTCCCCCCCTACAACACCCCCCTCCGCTTTCCCCCAATATCATGGTACCGGCAGGGATGGGCGACTGGACGGGGTTCATGGATCGCATTCAGGACGTGATCCCCATGGACCAGCAGCCCGAGCTGCTGCAGAAGCTGCTGTTGAGCCCACCCACTCATTCACCATCTCCTGTGCGCGCGCGCTGTGCTAATCTGCCCCCCACCTCCTCCTCCTCCCCGGTGCCACCTTCTGGCCTCCTTTGTGCCCCCTTGCTTCCGTTCCCATCCCTCCCCCCACCCCCTCTCCTTCCCAAATCCCACGGGTTCCAACAGGCATGGGCGACTGGACGGGGTTCATGGATCGCATTCAGGACGTGATCCCCATGGACCAGCAGCCCGAGCTGCTGCAGAAGCTGCAGGAGGGGCACTTCACGCTGCGCATCATGTACGAGCAGTTCCAGAACATCCTCAAGCTGGGCCCGCTCGGCCAGGTGAGAGCTGTTGGAGGGGTGAAGGAGGAGGGTGAGCGGTGAGGGAGGGTTGGAGGATGGAGTTTTGTTGGAGGCGTGAGGAGTGGGGTGGGGTCACCAACAAAACTTTGCTTTCTCGCAGTGAGTGAGGTGACCCTATTTTTGAGTCGACTCAAAAAAACCTTGCTTTCTCGCAGCTAAGTGAGGTGACCCTCCTCGCAGTTCGCATGATGATGTTTTCTTGCTTTACGATTCATCATTCATTCAGGACCCATCTATATCCTAGGCCAGGGTCAAGGACTGATCCTCCCTTCCCGTGCAACGGGTCCCCCGTTTCCATTTCATGCCCGTCTCCCCTCCTCCCTCCCATCCCTCTGTTCCTCCCCTGACCCTCTCCCCACCCCCTTGTGCGCGCATTCGAGCAGGTGATGTCGATGATCCCAGGGTTCACCCAGGAGTTTTCCCCCAAGGGGCGGGAGAAGGAGTGCTGCATCCCGTGCAACAGGTCAAACCTCCTCCCCATCCCTCTGTTCATCCTCCGACTCTTTCCCCCTTTGACCCCTGCGCGCGCATTCGAGCAGGTGATGTCGATGATCCCGGGGTTCACCCAGGAGCTCATGCCCAAGGGGCGGGAGAAGGAGTGCTGCATCCCGTGCAGCAAGTTTCACCTCCCGCACATTCCTCCGTCCCTCCCCTTTTCCTCGCGCCCTTCCGCCTGGGTGACTGTGAGCAGGTGATGTCGATGATCCCAGGGTTCACCCAGGAGCTGATGCCCAAGGGGCGGGAGAAGGAGAGCACAGCACGGCTCAAGAAGTTCATGACCATCATGGACTCCATGACCGACCATGGTGAGTAGTGGGGAGGGGGGGGTGAAGACGAGGTTGTAGGGTGGATTTGCTTTTGAGAATTCTCAAGGGTGGATTTGTTTTGGGGCCTGCCAAAGCACCTTGCAAGAGCACAGTGCGGCTGTATTAGTTCATGACCATCATAGACTCCATTACTGACCACGGTGGGTGTGGGCGTGGGGGGGAATAAGGGAGGGGGGAGGGGGAAGACGATTTGTTTGAGACGATTTTGAGGCGCCTCTGCAATCAGCACGGCTGAAGAAGTTCATGACTATCATGGACTCCAGGACTGACCACGGTGGGTTAAGGAGGGGGAGGGGGGAAACAGATGGTAGGGTATGGGACTTGCCAGAAACCACCCGGGTGATGTAGATTATTTTTGAGAATTCTCAAAAATAATCTACATCGTAGGGTATGGGACTTGCCAGAAACCACCCTGCAAACGCACAGCGCGGTTGAAGAAGCTCATGACTATCATGGACTCCAGGACTGACCATGGGGCGTGGGAGATGAAGGGGCGGGCGGGAAGGGGGGTGAGTGGATGATGTAATGGGATGAGGCGATTTGTTATGGAAGCACCTTGGCAGGCGCATCACGCGGCTGAAAAACTCCATAACCATCGTGGATGCCATTTCTCCCCCTCTCTCCCCCCCCCTTCTCCCCACCCTATCCCCCCAGAGCTGGACAGCACGAACCCGAAGCTCTTCCACGGCACCAAGCGCATCATCCGTGTGGCGAGAGGATCCGGGCGGCACCCCCTGGAGGTGCAGGAGCTGCTGGAGGGGTACCGCAAGATGGACAAGATCTGGAGCAAGATGAAGGGGCTCAGTGGCTGTAGACCTTTAGCACTCCCCTGTGTGCTCCTCTCCCTCTTCCAATCCCCGACGCTCCACACCCCCTGTTTCTGCGCGCTTTCTCTGCACTCCCCTCCTCTCTCCTCCCCTCCTCTACACTCTTCCCTCCAGAGCTGGACAGCACGAACCCCAAGTTGTTTCACGACACCAAGCGCATCATCCGTGTAGCCCGGGGCTCCGGCCGGCACCCTCTCGAAGTGCAGGAGCTGCTGGAGGAGTACCGCAAGATGGACAAGATCTGGAGCAAGATGAAGGGGCTCAAGATGATGGGCGGGGGAGGGAAGCGGGGAGGTCTCGGAGGCGACATGGGTGCGGCTGCGAGGAACATGAACGCGGCGCAGATGGCAAGGGCGCTGCCGCCGCAGATGCTGCAGCAGATGGGGGGCTTGAACGGGCTGCAGAACCTGATGAAGCAGATGAACTCGTCCGAGTTTGCGAATATCCTCGGCGGGAAGATGGGGGGGATGGGGCAATGATGGGGGGATAGGGGTGCTTGTGGTGCTGCTGGTGCTGCTGGTGCTGGTGCTGCTACTGGTGGGTAGGGGCGGGAAGAGGGGGGCAGGCTGGGAGGCGGCATGGGTGCTGCAGCGAGGAACATGGATGCTGCAGCAGATGGGCGGTTTGAATGGGCTGCAGAACCTGATGAAGCAGATGAACTCGTCCGAGTTTGCGAATATCCTCGGCGGGAAGATGGGTGGCATGGGGCAATGATGGGGCTGTGGCGGTGCTGCTGCTGCTGTCGGCGGAGCTGGCAGGGCTGGTGGTGGTGCCGATATTGCTGGTGGTGCCGATATTGCTGGTGGTGCTAGTTTAGACTACTGATGGCCCCATTGGTGCTGGGCAATATTGATGTACGGTACTGTTTGATTGTGCATCTGGTCTGGACAGAGTATCAATTTTGTTTGTGTTTGAGCTACCGGTATGGTCTTAAAGTAGTGGCACCGTACTGTGCTACCATGTAAGCAATATCAGGTGTCAAATTGGCCTACAAGTACGCTACTGGAATAAAAACAATAGCAGCCCAACAACTCGACCGACATGTGAATAGGCTTCAGTCCTGTCATATAAAACTTAGACCTGACACAGCCCAACTCCCACCCACGCAGATTCATCCCCACTCCACCTTCCCGCACCCTCACGCAGCGCCCACAGCCACCTGCTCTTGACCCACCTCCACCCCACCACCCCCAACCCCTCCCTCTACCCCTACCGACTCCTCAACTGCAATATCCCACCCGCTGCTGCTGCATTCCCCCCGTCTCCGCTCCCATCTGTGATCTCCTCTTCCCCTTTAGCGTCCAGGCCATGAGCTCGTTGGAGCATGCTGCTAGATCCGCAATGCTCACTCGTCCAGATGCTTGGATGTAGCTCGCTACAGCTACAGCTTCAGCCTCCCCTCACGCAGCACCCACAGCCACCTGCTCTTGACCCAGCTCCACCCCAACCCCTCCCCCTTCCGCCCCCACCGCCTCCTCAACCACAATATCCTCCCATGATATCCCTCCTGCCCCTCCTCCACCCCCCGCATCCCCAATAGCGCCATTCTCCTCCTCGTCCCCCTTGGCGTCCAAATCTATGAGCTCGTTGGACCGCGCTGCTAGATCCGCAATGCTCACTCGCCCCGATGCGCGGATGTAGCTGGCTACAGCCTTCATCTCGTCTGGAGAGATGAATATGAACTTGCCTCGGTCGTCCATCACTCCTGATATGCGCCCTGTGGGGGTGGGGGGGGAAGCAGGAGAAGAAGAGGTGAGAGGCGGTGGGAGAGAGGTAGGCAGTGATAAAGAGGAGAAAGAGCATAGCGCAGCGCAGGACAGAGCTGCACAGCGCGGCACAGCACCGCATCACACTCCGCCCGCACGCCCGGATGTAGCTGGCTACAGCCTTCATCTCGTCTGGGGAGATGAATATGAACTTGCCTCGGTCGTCCATCACTCCTGTGGGTGGGGGGGGGTGGGGGGGGGGGGGGGGGGGGGGGGGGGGGGGGGGGGGGGGGGGGGAGGAGAGGGGGGAAGGAGGGGCAGCAGTAGAAGAAGAGGTGAGAGGCGGTGGGAGAGAGGTAGGCACTGACAAAGAGGAGAAGGCACAGCGCAGCGCAGTACAGAGCTTCTCAGCGCGGCACAGCACCGCCCGCACGCGCGGATGTAATTCGCTACAGCCTTCATCTCGCCTGGCGAGATGAATATGAACTTGCCTCGGTCGTCCATCACTCCTGATATGCGCCCTGTGGGGGTTGTTGCGAGGGGGGGAGAGGGAAGGAAGGGGGGAAGGAGGGGCAGCAGGAGAAGAAGAGGTGAGAGGCAGTGGCAGAGAGGTAGGTACAGAAGGAGAGGAGCAAGAGCACAGCGCAGCCCAGCACGGCACCACACCACACAGCACAATACTGTAGAGCACCGCATCCCACCACAATACACGTACCCATTTGCTCGAGGGAGATGACACGGTTGACCACGTCCTGACAGGCAGCGGCAGCAGCAGCAGGTAGGCAGGCAGGGGGGGGCACGACGCAGCAAAGATGGCAGGGGGGGGAAGGGAAGACATGGGGATAGAGACATGAGGCAACCTCGTCATGACATTAAAGCATTGGTGCTGGGCAATATTGATACGTACGGTACTGTACGGCACTGATAAGCAGCACCCTAGCAACAAGCCATCCTGTCTTGGCCCCTTCCCGCCCGCCATTCCCACCCCACTCACCACCGCTCGCAGCCCAAAGCGCGCTCCCAGGTCCTCCAGTAACACACACTTGTGGCGCTGTGATGGCAGAAGGCATGGCAGGAAAGCAGGGCGGGATGGGGCCAAGGGGGAAGGTGGGGAAAAGTGTTTGCGAAAGGAGGTTACATGGCACAGGTGGCTGAAAGCGCGCTCCCAGGTCCGTCAGTAACACACACTTGTGGCACTGTGATGGCAGGAGGGATGGAAAGAAAGCAGGGCGGAGGAAGGTGTTTGTGAAAGGAGGTTACGGGGCACGGGGAACACTCCAACTCCGCCTCCTCCTTTCATGCGCGTCCTCCCATGTGTGTCCTCCCATGTGTGTCCTCCCATGTGTGTCCTCCCATGTGTGTCCTCCCATGTGTGTCCTCCCATGTGTGTCCTCCCATGTGTGTCCTCCCATGTGTGTCCCATGTGTTTCTCCCAAATCATCCCAGTACGCTCACTCCCGCACCCCTCCTCTCCCTCCCTCCCTCCCTCCCTCCCACCTTTCCTTTTCCCAACTTACCCCCACCAGGGCTAGCCCTTCCCTTTCCCCTCCTCCCTCCCCCCTTCCCCTCGCAGTCCCCCCCCCCCCCACACTCACGCGGATGTAGTCGGTAAACTCCCCCAGCAGCCCCTGGCTCTCCTGCTGCTCGTCCCCCTCCACCGTGCCCTCCCCCTCCACGGAGAACATCCCCTTCCATGACTCCAACTCCGCCTCCGCATCTCTCTGCCTCCGCGCCTCCTCCTCCGCTGCTTCTTGCGCCTGGGGGGAGGGCAAGGGGCCGGGGAGAGGGGTGGGGGGGGAGGGAAGAGGGCAAAGCGCGCGGAGGCGAGGGGAAGGGGAAGGGTGATAACGGGATAGGTAGGAGGGGCGACAGAGATGGCCACACGGGAAGGGAAGAGGTGAGGGAACAGTCGAGGAGGGGCAAGATGGATGCTTTTGAGTCGACTCAGAAACAGACTCATAGGTGGGAGGGAGGGACATCAAAGGTGTGTGTGCACAAGGGAAGACGTGGCGTGTAGGAAGTGAATCTTTGTTTGAGACGTCGTAAATTCTTACTGTCTACACGTGGAAGGGAAGAGGTGAGGGAACAGTCAAGGAGGGAACAGATGCATGCCCTGCCCACTTATGGATACTCATGCTCCAAGCGGCTGTGTTGGTCCTGCACATCATCAGTTAATCACTCCCCCACCCACCCTCACCACCCATCATCACCACCCGTTGAGCACGGACCTTCCTTGCTTCCTCAGTTTCTCTCTCCGCCTCCTTCTGCCTCTGCCTCTCCGCGTATGCATCCCTCTTCTCCTCCTTCGCCTCCCGCGCTGCTGCCTCCGCCTGTTGCCCACATGCACACATGCGCGCAGGCACACATGCACACATGCAAAAATGCACACATGGATGCAGCACACATGCACACACAGAGGCAGATACGAACACATGGACACATGCACACAGGCACACACGCAAGCATGCACGCATGCACACAGGCACTCAAACATACACACGCATGCACACATGCACTCACACATGACCTCGCAGGCGCGCGCGCACACACGCACACACACAAATGCATATACACAAGCACAACACAAACAGTCGCGTTGAAAGATCTTGGAGCAAGGAGCGAGAGGAGTGAGAGGAGCGAGAGGAGCGAGAGGAGCGAGAGGAGCGAGAGGAGCGAGCGGAGCGAGAGGAGTGAGAGGAGTGAGAGGAGTGAGAGGACTGAGGAGTAAAGAAGGACGACTGCAAGGCGAAGTGGGGAAGGGAGAGGAAAAGGGGAGGGAGAGATGCACGGTGAAATGGAGGAGGGGAGGAGGGTGAATAAATAAAACACAGCAATACTGACTGAGTTCCCAAACGCAAGAACACCCAATGCACGGGTGCTCGTAAGGAATGGCTAGTTAGATCTCAATGAACGGCAGAACAATTTAGAGTGGGAGGACAGGAACAGAAGGAGTGAGGAGAGGAGAGGTCGCAGAGGGAGTTAGAGGGGGGAGGGATGGGAAGTGGGGTACAGAGGAATGGAGTTACTGGGAGAGAGAAAGAAGAAGTGTACTCTGAAATCTTTGTCTGCTCGCATCGTCCTACCTGTCTCCTTGCCTCTCGTTCTCGTCTCCTCCGATCCCGCCTCCCTTCCGCCCCCGCTCCCCCCTCTTCCTCTTCCTCCTCCTCCTCCTCCTCCTCCGTCCTCCCCCTCGCTCCCGAGGCGCATTCCCCTCGTCTTCCGCCGCAGCAGCCGCCGCCGCCTGTCGGTTTCTCCGCATCCGCATCCGCGCGGCCCCTCCGCGCGCTCCCCCTCCAGCCACCGCCGCCCCGCCTCCTCTCCGCCGACCCCCCGCCGCCGTCGCCGCGCCGTCTTCCGCCGTCTCCGCTTCCTCCTCCTCGTCGCCCGCCTACGCGGCGGAACAGACGGGGAGGATGCGCGCGAGGGGCGATCAGGGAGGGGAAGAAGGTTGTTTAGAGATTTGTCGTGCGAAAGTTTCTGAGTCAACTCATAGAAGTGTCTTCAACGCAATTCATTCGTGCCCACAACACAGCCTCCTCCGCGCTATTCCTCGCTTTCCCCTCAACCTTCCCGCTCTCCCTCCACCTCAACCTCCCCTTCCCCCTATCCCTCCCCATTTCCCTCATTGACTCCCCAAAAGTTTCTCCCCGCGACCGCGCCCGCGAACCCGCTCCGCGCGGGCCGGTGCAACCTACCCGTTTCTTGGCGCCGGGGTCTTTATTTCCTCTAGACGTCGCTACAAACCAGGACGCCGCTCCGGCCGCCATTAGCAGCATCGCCACCACTAGAAGCACCCATACGGTCGGGTCCACGTCGACCATGCTGCTGATTGGCTGAATGCGCTGCGCTGCGCACTAAGAAAATATTTCACCAATTTAGCGAGAGGCGAATATACTATTTATTCCGAAAAGAGAAGACGGAAAAGGGGAGAATGTGAATGAGAAGGAGCGATCGCGGTGCACCAAAACGGAGATCTCGTACCGCGAGCCCTTCCGTCTGCTTTCCTTCCGTTGTTCCCGTTTCGCACGGAACGAGACCGCCTGTGTTACGAGCAAGGGCCAAGTGAAGTGCGACCTGTGACACGAAGAAGATCAGGTGATAAACGCGATAATGGCGTCTTCCTCACTATCAATCCGGCGACCCAAATTCGTGCGGAATTTCATCAGTACCTACAACCACAGAATTTCACAATAGCAGCTGCTCTCAGCCGAATCACAACTTCTCAAATTGCTATCACTGTATCTGCTTTTTACAACACTGCAAATTTACATCGAACCAAAAACACAGAAACACAAATAATAAAAAAAGAAGACACAATCTCTTTGCAAAGAATTTCCTTGGGCACCACAATTTTCTACCATCTGATGCGGCCTCTCTTCTTCACCGCGGTATTACCAGCTATACGGTAGGTCTCCTCCACCGTCCTCCCCTCTTGTTGCACCTCGTTCCAACAACACCAAACACGCAGAGCCACAGATGCATGCGCTGCCACCTGCCCTTGTGTTTCCACCTCTCCTTACAGACTACTTCCCCTTCCTCTCTCCCCTCCCCACCACTCCCCCCCCCCCCCCCCCCCCTTCTCCCTCACAAACTTCCCCTTCGCCCTCCCCACAGCCCTGAACGTTTTGCTGTTCGCCTTTCTCCCCTCATCCAGCTTTCCTTTGCCCTTCTTCCTCCCGCCCACAACCCCTTCCTCCCTCCCACCACTACCTCTGCCAATCCTACCAGTCACACCAGTCCCACCACCAGTCCCACCACCAGTCCCACCAGTCCTACCGATCTCGTTGATCCCACCACTCTTCTGTATCGCATCCCCTTTCCCACCCTCACCTCCTTCCACATGCCCTTGCGATCCCACATCCACCCTGCTCTTTCGGCCCAACCTGCTCCCCTCGTCTTGTTGCCTGTAGCTCGCCGCCATGCTCGGCATGTCCCTTTTCCTTCCCCCCTCCACTTCGCCACCACCCAGTTCTCCTAGTCTTTTCCTTCTTCTTCTAGCCCTTCCCTTCCATTACCGGTGCCTCCATTTCCATCCCCACCACCAACACCTCCCCTTCTTCTTCTTCTTCTTCTTGCTCCTCCTCCTCCTCCTCCTCCTCCTCCTCCTCCTCCTCCTCCTCCTCCTCCTCCTCCTCCTCCTCCTCCTCCTCCTCCTCCTCCTCCTCCTCCCCTCCTCCTCCTCCCCCCCCCCCCTCTTCCTCCCCCGCTTCCACCAAAGGCACTCCCTCCACTCTCCCTTTCCTCACCCCTTACAAGCCCATCTGTGTCATACCGTGTCCTCTCTTGAATTCGCGAGCACACAAGTGCCAGCGAAATAAGCTTGCGCCTCCTTCCTCCAACTCTCCACCCCACAACCTCCATCTTCTCCTGTGCTTCCTCTTCCTGCTCTTTCTCCTCCTTTTCCTTCACTTCTGCGTTATCTTCATCCTCCTCTTCTCTCTCCTTTACCTCCTTCCCCTTGACCTGCTCCTCCTCCAGCTCCTCCTCCTGCTCCTCCTCCTGCTCCTCCTCCTGCTCCTCCTCCTGCTCCTGCTACTCCACTTGCTCCTCCTCCTCCTCCTCCCGCTCCATCCCAACCTCCTTTTCATCCTCCCCCTCCTCTTGCTGCTCCTCCTTATCTTTCTCTTCCTCCGCCCCCTTCTCCTCTTCATCTTTGTCAACACCTTCCCTCTTGCGCTTCCCCTTCACCTGCTGCCCTCCCTCCCTTTCCTCTCCATGC